TAAAAAGAGAGTCTCTACACAGTGTTTCACTGTAGCAGAAGTTTGATTCATTGTTTTCTTTCTCCACATTTTGGTTACCCCGAGTTTTCGTTAAACGGAATATTTCCAGATCGAAAGTTATTTATTTAAAAATTATGTGTTAGTAAAAATAAAGTTTCGATAATAGAAAAGTAATAAAATTTAAATATGGAAGAAAAATTGCTTTGCTTTTTATGATAAAGAATTTTTATTAGTTAAACATTCGAAATTTTCATTCTCTCCTGAAAAAGCTTATCGCAAAATCCATAGAGAATTTTCATTAAGTAACAGAAAACTTAACTCACGTGATGAGAGCGTTACATGTCGATGTATGTACAATACGAAGAATTGCCATGGATACCAAGTTTGGAGACAAATGAGACCGAAATAGAAAATAAAGTGCATCACGCCAGTTTTCTGTCATAACTAAAGGGCTTCTGAACTGCAGAATATATGTTTAAGTACTGTAAAACAATATCTCAACTTTCCATTTTATAGAAGTAACTATTTCCCTGCTTTGCCTTTTAATGCAGGTAAGGTTATTTCTTAATTTTGCAATTTTCTGAGCTTTTATTCGACTTTCAATTTTATCAAAATAACATATAAGACAATTTAATTTATTTCAATGGATATAATTCTTTTAAGGAATTATGAAAAAGAAGAAAATGCTTCTCCTTAATATTTAAAAATCTAACAAAGGTAATCCCAAGACTTCCTATCTGCAGATGATGGAAGTTTTCAAAGCACTTACTGTTTTCAATTATTGGATTATGCACTATATGTTTTCTGCTTCAATGTTCTTGATTTTAGTATCTTTACAAAATCAATGTGCCTCTTTTAATGTAAGTGTAGTAATTTTTAGAATGTATTCACGGATCTGTTCAGCTTTATACACAGTATGCCTTCAAAGGTTTTTTTGTTGAACTTTCCAATCAATTACAGATGACCTGTCAAATAAAAACTACTGGAAATGATTTCTAACATTCTCCCTCTTTTCCCCTTTTATAATATCAATAATACGTAAATTTAAAATGTGTATTCTAAATTAACTGCTAATTAAAACTTTAATAAATACATTAATTCGAACCGTCACAGAAATTTCTAAACTTTTTGCGTCATTTCCCTGTAAGTCATCTTTGAACTGTCGTAACATTATGTTAGTATGATCTTTAACCTTCTTATATTCTATAAGTAATATATTAAGGAATATTTTCAGGAATTGTAATTGCTGCTGAATCACTTGGATATATATTTTGGAAAAAGTAAGACACTTAATAAAACATTTTATTCTTACTCATGTTATCGCAAACGAATGTTCCTATATATATATGTATATAAATTTATACACCTTTGTTTAAAAATATCACATAAAAAAGAAATGAAAGGTGAAGTATTTTGTTGGGATATGCATCGTGCTAGATATGGTTATTACCATACTTTTTTCCATTTTATTCCGAAACTTAAATTAATATTAATTGCTTGCAAACCTTGTAGGCAACAATTATTATTGGTCAAAATAACTACAACTACTTCTACTAGATAATAACTACTACATTGCGTGTTCAAATCACGTCCGGGTCACCAAGAATGTATTTGCTTGCAAAGTTCTTTTTTATAATAATTTAAACTGCAAAAAACAAAAGCAAGAATAAATGTTTTTCATATATAACATCTTTATTATTCTTTGTAGCGCTCACTAACTCCTTACTAATTTCAGGCACGACAACACTTCGAAAACTAAACTGAAACTACAGGTGAAGCGAAAAAAGTAGTTATTATCTAGTAGTAGTAGTTGTAGTTATTATGACCAATAATAATTGTTGCCTACAACCTTTAAAAATAGAAGATTTTTTAGTCTGAACCTCTTCTGTGACAAGTATGCATAAAATTATTTACTTCCCAGAAAGCTTCTTCCTGAATTTCAAATATGAGAATATCAATTAATTTCAGACGGAAAAATGAATTAAAAATTAAATTTACTCTTTAGCTACCTGAAAAAATATTTTATAAGACTGCAAATTGCAATAATATAAGGGAGAAATTCTTTGTTTGTAAAATGTAGTTCTTTATTTAAAAGTTTAATTTTCCCGTTGTAGTTCGACTAATTTATGCAGCAAATACAGACACCACATAAGATTACATTTCAAAATATTCAAGTCGAATTTGAATGACTGCAGACAACGTATTTAGAATTTCGAAGTTTTAAGTTTGATTCTACTTGAATGTACATCTATCTGAAATAGAGCAGCAATTCATCATTCGTTTTTCTGAGTAATTTAGCAGAAGTTACCTATGAGCGCATGCTTACAATTTTTATTAAAAAAATTAAGCTAAATTAAAACGTGTCCAAGTTTTGGAAAATTCATTTATGATGTAATAAAATGGAATTGCTTTATGCCATACGTAATTAAAACTGAACGCTCACACGAACAATGAATGATATGATTTTGTAAAATACGTCGTTCATTTTCCGCTCATTCTCAATAAATAACATAGACGTTATCAAGACATTTGCGTCCTTGACCGCTTCTTTAAACGGTGGGAAAAACACCAACTCACATTTTTAACAAAGATCAGAGATCACAAGCATAACAAACCATCTTCTTTTACTCAACTTAAACGTGTTCGTGATGCATCGCATCAGTGCTTGCTGTGAATGGCTACTAACGAATCTCAAGTATTTCGATCATCTCAGTGAAGAGAATTAAGATGAATTATTCATTGCTTACTTATTTATTTAAATTCTTTCGAAATATGTTTTAAATTTTTTATTAACCTACAGCGTTTCTTGGCCAATTGTAATATTTGAATTTCTAGGAAGTGTTTAAGTGTTATGAAGCTTGAGTTAAGCAACATTAACTCTTATGAAGTTGCAAAGAGGTTATGTGTTATTTCTATATAAGATATGTTTCATTTAAAAACTTTTCATTTCAGTTTTTATATCTAGAAATTCGTACGCGAGATAAACGTGTATGAAAGATGCCTATAACCATTTCGCCGATAAACATCTTTACCGGCTGGGCTAAAGCTGAGCGAACATGTTTACCGAAATGGAATATTTGCTGAACCATTTTACCCACTCTGTGATCTTACGGAACCCATGATTAGAGCTCACATTCGTTGCAGTGGGGCAGTTCTTGGTTATGACTCCGAGACTACCCGATACTGCATTGCCAGAGACTGGCTAAAGCAATGACTATTAAAATTCACTTCTGTTATGTTCTGTCTTTGAACTTCTTGTTGTATTTTGGCTTTCAATTAGAAATTTAAAACAAATCTAGGAATTTTACTTGTATATCCTAAATTTATAACAGTTATATAAATTTATTTACCTTTTCTATCTCTTCTAGCTTCAGCCTACGATTCCTTACCAGAATGGGTTTTTAGAATCTCGTGAAATGCAAATGAGAAGGGGTAGTATTAAGTTTAGCCAGCCGCGATACTCGATGGCAAAGGTTCCGTGATGACCTTCCTGGAGTAGCTGAAATTGCATTTTACTTTACATTCCGTAAAACAGCTGTAGAAGATTACAATTTCTACAACTAACTTAAAAGACCAGACCCTAAGTTGGTTCAAGATTGTCGGAAAGTTCCTGTTGGGGATCCAGGATTGGAAACCTACACATAGGAAAATTTTAAAACCGCATTTTCAAAATATGTGAACACAGGTTCAAACCTAATATGATTTCACATTATAAAAATATGCTACTACTTCTCAGGATTTTATAGATATTTTTCTTCCCCTCTTTAAATTTTGAAACTTTACTCTTTTTTAAGGATATTATGTTACGAATTTTTGAAAAGCAAAGGCTTTCCGTATCTTTTGCCTGATTTTCCAAATTAAAATCTCTTCACTTTCAGAGGTATTATCTTCAGAAACAATGGGGCTCATTGGAAGGTAAAGGGTTAAAAATATGTGGTTTGTTTCTTTTTAGAATTCAAAATACATGGAAATCATTTGTATAATCTCTTTATTCCATAAATTTTAATATAAAGAAAATAATACGTATGAAGGATGTATCATCATACTTTACGTATCATTTTCACTGCAGAAAGGATGGGCCAGAATAAATAACCAACAGCTTAGAATTAAAAGTTGCGTATCATATATTGGTAAAAAAAAAACTATCCGTATAAATAAAAAAATGGAAGATATCACAAAAAAATTAATTATTTAAAATATTTAAACAAAAACATGATCTCAAAAATGTAAACTAAGGCTGTCTGAGTCACCGAAATTTGGTTCATCGGCTTTCTAAAATATTTCTAAATATGCTGAAGTATAAGAGAAATAGGAGTAAAACGGCTTCTTCTTCTTCCGCAATTTCCTGAAGTTATCTTTATTCAAAACACAGAAGAAAGTAGGGCAGTGCTCCATATAGATGGTCAGGGTTTATGTATCCCTTTTGATTAGTCTCAAACTACATAAGGGTAAACAGTCATTAATTTTATTCCCGAAGAATTATGTGAAATAGAAATTTCCAAAGAAAATGAAGAAAGTGCTCTATGATGTGATTTAAGATTTTATACAATCAATCTAATTACAAGTGAAGTCTTAATGTAGTATGGATTCAAGCAGCTATCTAATTTTAATACATGTGTTTTTAATTGCGTATAGTCGAACCTTCTGTCAGGGAACACATATGGTACCAATGCTTTTATCCATTGGCATGAAGTGGCCGAGGAATAGAAGTGGTCTCTTTCTTCGAAGGTCTTCAGAAACTGTCCATTAATTTAGATTGGCATCTAAAGTTGAATGTGCGTTAATGAAGGTTTGGCTTTACTTCCAGAAAAGCTAAAACATAAATTAATAAACTAATGTAGAAATAAAGAACAGATGATATTGATCTAAAATTTTTTTTTCTGCTTTTTAGGTAAATATCAAGAACTCCTCAATTAGTACCAGAAAACAGCATATATATCTTTTACCATAACAAGTCATACAATTAATAGTTTAGAGTTTCTTCCGCTGAAGCATCAAAAATGGAAAATTCTGCCCAAAATATGACAGACAATACCCTTTCTCATGAGAATATTTTAAAAGTAGCAGATGCATTAGCAACAGATGCTGCATCAGAGACTGCTAATCGAAGTTCGGAAATGATGTTGGAAAGAGATCAGTTACGAACTCTTGAGGATAAAAGCACTATATTGAAAAGCATCCATCAAGAGGATGGCCATTCGAGGTACTTGATCAAGAACAATATCACATCTAAGAATAATCAAGATGAAAGCAGTCTATGTGAATCTGCACTAGAAGATAACTGCACACCAGTTAGTAAGCTAGAAGAAAATTATTCATCAAGGACTACAAAAGAGCTCAACGATAATAGTCCATCAGAAATTCTGAAAAAAGAATTTAAATCACCAGGAAATATCTCGAATGATAAAATTACATCTAATATCATGCCAATTCATGAAGACCTATCAGGTACCATGGGGAAAGATGCTACATCAGGAACTGACACACAAGATAATGGCGGATCAGAGGCCATTATGGAAAAACTTGCAAAGGATCAAAAAGACAGTCAATGCCTCCAAGACGGTAAAGTAAAACTGTTGAAGAAAACATTTACTCAAGATATAATTGCATGTTCCGTTGTGTCAGAAGATGACACTTTAATTCGAGAAGAAAAGGATCCAGAAGGAAACCCTAAGGACACACTGGATACCAAAATAGCTAACTTGGAAACGGAATTAAAGCAGTAAGTACACCATGAAAAGTTTCATTTATTAAAATAAAAAAAAATTACTAACATCCTGGAACATAATGTCATTTTAGTAATGGATGATGAAGATGGTTTTCATGTAAGCTACTAGGCCAACGGTTCTCAACCTTTTTTGCCCCTTGCACTGCTTTCGCCATTGCTAGAATATAATTAATTACCCTTCCCGCATACACCCTATTCCAAAATTTGAAAAATACATATATGTATTGATTTTAGATTTTTTTATAATGTGTTGTAAGGTATATTTTAATTTTATGACAGTTATTTTAATTTATTAGCAGTTTTATAACATTTCCCAGTTTCAACTTAGAACTCTCTACCAGAATGAGGTTTCATAACCGCGTTGAATACAAATGAGTAAGAAGTAGTATTTAAGGAAGATTCAACTTACTTCGAGAGAGAGATAGGAATCCTCTCTAAGCTGTTATGCTCAATTTACACGTATATGTGCTTTTTGATATTCCCCGGTATTTTAAAATTAAGGGCCAACTACGTTAGATTTGTGTTACCTTCGGCTAAGCCTCTTAGTTAGATATAATTAGTTCTTACTTCTTACTAGCCGCTATGCGGCCAGCCTTCGTCTGTATTTTAAATGTACCAGAAAACAAACGTCCTCGCGACAAACTCGACAAACGTCGTATCCAAGTACCTCTCGACAAACATCCAGTATCCAAGAGAAATATTAAATTTAAAAACTGCGCAAAATTATCGCCCTCATTTTTCCGAGTGGCAACAGTGTTGATATCAGCAACAATGGCAACAGTGATGTATCAGCAACAATGGCTGCGTGCCATCGATTTGATACGATTTCATAAAAAAACATAAAATAAAAAAAAATCTCATTCCAATTTTGAAAAATCGCTTCGAGGTGCACTGGCTCTTGTCTAGATGCACCCTATGTACCAAATTTCGTAGCCCTGGGACTATTAGCTTACGTGCAGCGCGAAAGAAAGACACACACACAGACTCTTGCTTTTATTATATGTAGAGATTTTTGAGTTTAAGCAAAAGTGGAGGCTTTGTTGCAAGTAAAGGCGCCGACTGTTCATCTTATTTTGAGTGAAATAAAGAAATCGTAATTCCTGTAAATTCCTGTTATCTGAACTAAGTGATAAGTCGCTTAACAGTTAACGAAAATTCCTCAACATTTACTTTAATAGAATAACTGTGTGGAACTCTACAGTGTTTTATAAATTAACAAAAAGTATAGAAAATGTTGGTAAATGCCTAAACTTGAATAAAAATAGTGTTTTATATTCTTAACTAACACTAACTGTCTTCTATAACTTTTCCAACTTCTTGAATAACTGGTATTAACTAAATACTTAACAGCTAAATAAAAGACTGGCCGCATTCCCTCCCTGATATTAGGAAACTTGCTCCTAGGTGGAATTACTCCTTGGTTTAGGAACCTCTGCTCTAAACTTTTTAAAGCGTCGAAGATATCATTGTTCTAATAATGTAAGATTTATTAGTCCAAATTGGCAATTTGACGAGAAGGACTACTAATTTCGTTTTGGCATTTTGCGTCGATTCACGATAAACGTTGTTTTAACGATTAAACGATTTCAAAGGGAGCAATAGCAACATTATATGGAAAAAAAATTTATCTCCAGCGCGCGAGGCTCTGTATCGGAAATTTTAAAGATATGTTCATTTTAAAATTATTTTGCGATCTTGCTGTTGAACTGAATTTTATAGTTTAAGTGGGAAGAACATGATATTTAATAAATAAAGGTAACACACAAAATAATAAAAAAAGACCCCCTTGTACGTAATTTAAAGTCTGAAACCTTTCAGATTTAATTAATTTATTTTTTAATTTGATTCAGCATTTTCCCTACATTCTGTCAGAAGAATAGACATAACTCATTCTTCTTATGTCTTCTTATGTAAGTAATAAACATAAAAGTCATCAGTTCGCAGCAACGCCCAAAAAATAGCTCCATGACAGTTCGATTTAGCTTCGTTTCAGCTGACAGCAGTAATTGAAATTGCCTGCAGATTCAAATCTTGGGTAAACTGAATTAAGTCTGAAAAAATTTTCCCGTAGATCAATGAGACTGATACAGAGAAACAACTTTTAAATGGTTAAATTCAGAAGCAAGAAAGCTTATTATTAACATTTTAGTTTACTTTTAGTTCAACCCTGCTAGATGCATATAATCTTAAATTGTAAGTTTACTTTTATATTTTATCAAAAGTTTAGATACCAATAAAATTTTTAATTTGATTTAAAGCTTCAGCTATATTATTTTATATGAAGAAGCACTTTCAGAACAAAAACGAAACTCGCCACTAAGCCATACATGTTTGGCATTTTAGCAATTTAAAAACTCTAGACAGAGTATTGTGAGATTCAGGCCAAAATCCTACAATCAAAACAGTAAATTCTAAAGTAAAAAAAAAAAGTTTTACCTTAATATTACTTTTCTTTCTATTTTCCTCTGATTTCTTATTATCAAGGTTATTATTTGGTTTTTGTTACTATTATTGTCAAACTGACATATTTATTTGCTTTTTATTTTGGAATAGAAAGCCTTTTGACTTTTTTTTTTTTTTTTTTTTTCTCTTGAAACTGTGTTTTTTGCTCTTTGCCAACATTTTCATTTCTCATTAGCTTGTAAAATGTAACTTTTATTTTTCTTACAAGAAAATAAAAACGAGTTTAAAACAGTTCCGCTTTCATTTTCTACACTGTTGTAAAATTATTTATATTCTACACTGTTGTCATAATTTTGCATATAATTGTGTATAATCGGAATTCAACTAGGAGTACTTAATTGTTATTTATTCATTAGTAGAAAAAAAATAGAGAAAATATATTTTAGATGGCAGGCTCAAGTTTATTATGGAGGCCCCTAATAGGTGGGCTACCTTTTGCTTTTGAAGGAACGGATCAATTGCATTCTTGCTTTCGCCAGGTTTCGAACCCGAGCCCTTCGGTATGGCACTCAGAGTCATTAACCGCTTTCCCGTCTCAGCGGCGTTTTAACTCATTTAAATTAATATACTTTAAAAATATGTAGTATAACAGTATGAAAAAAATAAGTCTTAATATTGGATATGACCTTCTCTGACTTTTCGCTTCATTCCTTCAACCAAACCTAGTACAGTAGAGAGTAACAGTTGCCATTCATAAACAGTATAACTCTTATAGAGTAGTTGAAAGGCGATGATGAGCATCATAGTCCCTCAAAATGCCTCACAGAGATTTGCAGTAGAAAAGAATAAGTCCCAGAAAATTTCACTGCTCATCACTTGGGAAAAATATCACTGCTGTCGATTCACCATTTTTGCTTTGTGAAGAGGAGCATTATCTTCCACGAAACAAATATTTGATCCCCCGCTTACCATATAATTTTTTTAAAAAGGTTCAACGACATGATTCTCACAGTTTTCTGCCGTCATAATGCCCTCTCTAAACATGTACACATCGATATGTTATCCCAAGAGAAATCCTTACTATCATATTATGCATATGGTATTCATCAATGTTAATGTGTGTTTCTTGCTCTTTGCCAACATTACGTATGTTTATAAGGTATTTCTCCCGCCTTTTTAGCATGCCTTCGTGGTGTAGTGGTCAGCACGCTCGACGCGTATTCGAGAGGTCCAAGGTTCGAGTCCCGGCGGGAGCATTGCTCATTTTTCATGACTCCTGCTTTCAAAATTAATCCTTCTATCTCTACATGTTTATCATTTGATTCTAGTGCAAATCCTGAATTACTGGTGAAGAGTATATTAGATCTTTCCAAAGTCTTTCGCATATTAATGCAGCTCTTTAATCGTGCTTTTTTGGTGTTAGAAATATAAACATAAGCCTCTGGTGTCTATATCTTGAATCATTTGTATTCAGCATTCGCTTCACAGTACTAGTAAATGCCAGTTGTCCTGCTTAGAATTCCGAATTCACTGACAGTTATCCAGACTTAGACTGAGTTTTCGGTTAGCTGTCAGCGTGTCTCAAATTATTTTTTTAAGTGACAGATGATAAAAGATATCGCAGAAAAGAAATAGACAGCTTCCTTAATGAAGTATCTGCCTCAAGATTTGTAACTAAACCCTACAGCTGAAAAAGTGCCAGGCAGATATAACAAATTTAACCTAATTCAGAATCGATGGTAAAATTCTTGTGTAACTTTCTAGGAGCATTGGAACTGTTAAATATATGTAAGTCGTTTTCAGCACATCGTGTTTATTCTTCAAGCACCAAATCATATTTGAATTCATCATCTTAAGGGTTTCCCCTTTTGTACCAGACGGAAATGTCGAGGAACCTTGTGAACTGTTAAGCGACTTTGTCGCTTAGTTCGAATAACTAAAGACGTAGACTCAAGAAGAATTAAATACCCTTTATTTCACTTAAAATAAGATGAACAATCGGCCCCTTTTCAGGGCTTACAAAAGGCCTCCCCTCGGGCTTGAACTCAAAAGAAATAAGAATTAAACTAGAACTGACTAAGAGGCTTACTCAAAGCTAACACAAATATCTATCGTATTTGGTCCTTAATTTAAACTAGCAGGCGGCTATCAAAAGACACGTAATAAGCGGTCGAGCGCAACAGCTCCAAGAGAGACTTAGCCGAAAGGCAAACACGCACTACTCAGGATTCCTAGCTCTCCCCCACGAAGTAAATTCAACCTTCCTTAAATACTACTTCTAACTCATTTGCATTCAACGCGATTATAAAAAAACTCATTATGGTAGAGAGTTGTAAATGAAAACAAGAATTGATAGGAAAACAATCTACAATTAAAATAACTGTTATAAAATTAAAATATACCTTACGACTTAATATTTTCATCTTCATCAAGATAACAGTCCGTTTTCCGCAATAGATCCATGAATACGCTGGCTATTTAAGAAGCTGCAATGTTTATTTTCTTGAAGAGTTTCTTTCTTTTTCCAATAAACATATAAAACATACAAGAGTATAAAATAAATGCACTGCGCTTTACTTATATATATTTAACTAAAATCTGTTTAAAAACTGTGGTAACTTTTTTGGCAGAAAAATGTATGCAAATAAGTATAAATTGAAAATAAATTCTGCCTTGAATCGATCAATTCAAGTATTTTATATATATATATATATATTATAAGATTGAGCTCGAAAGGGATAAAATTTTGGTCATCCTATCTGAGGGGAAAATGTGTAGATTGGGGAATATTATTATACGATAGCATTTACTGCAATTGTAAAGGAATTCAATCGAGTTACGAGAGTATTGTTGCTATATCTGAAACCCTTTGATTGAAACCTGGAAAAATTGCGGCTATTAAACGATAAACGTAGTCTTATCTAATAATATTTAATAGATGTGGATTTCATTTAACGGGTTATAAATGAGTATAGTTTAGTAAAAATAGTCTTTCAGGATATAGGGAAAAATTCAAAAATGCGACAAGTAATTTCTTCGCGTTCTTTATTAAATGAGTAAACGAAATTAAATCTGACAACAAAATAACTTATTTTATATCAGTATTTAAATTAAAAATTATACATTTTTCTACTTAATCTTGTTTTCATTATATTTTGTTCTTTCTGTAATTTCAATTAGTTTTTTGGCCATTTACCTGTGTATTGTTATCTGTATATTATAGAAAATTTAGATTATGTGATCATATTTAGAATATTAATGATCTTTCGTACCGAAATCGACAGCAGTCCTAATAATAATATATATTTTAATAATAATACCCATAGGGTAAATGATTATTACGAGAAGTTGTCAAAAAAGGTGAACATCGCGAAGTCCAAATATGAGAAGGAAAGGGAAGACTGTGAAGACATTACAAACGTAGCAAAAAGAAATGTTGAAAACCAAGTATCCAAAATTTTAGATTTGCTGCGAAAAAAAAGAGAACTGAATCATAAAATAGATAATCAGGAAGAAAAGAACAAAAAAGAAGAAGAAGAAACAAGAACTAGGTTGTTTCTCGAAGAAGAAAAATTAAGAAGAAATGTGGTTATATTACGTAAGTAAAATTTGAAACATTAATTCAATTTGATATGAAAAGTGTATTACGTCATCTTTTAAACGAATTCCTTAATTATTTCTACACTGCGGTTTTAATTTAAAGTTCAAAGCCTTTAGTTAGTTATTGTTGACTAGAAAATATACCATAATTTCTATGGTATACACCTTTCTGTAACATTATTCATGGAGGCTGTGTTCAGTAATTTGACGACTGATGATTCTATAAAATTTAAGTGCTTTCATAATTAAATGTCAACGCACGCGTTTCATTTTGGGATGTATAAGGTTCAACCATAGCCATAATTTGGGATGTATAAAGTTCAACCATAGCCATAGTTTGGGATGTATAAGGTTCACCGTGCTTAGCGCGGACACTTGATCGACACAGAGAAACAGAGGGAACTCCCAACCACACACCGTCCAGCAGCTCCGACCTCCAAGCAGCTGGATTACGACACCACGCTATTTTCTCCCTGCTTCTAGGATGCCTTCGTTGTGTAACGGTTAGCACGCTCGGCGCGTATTTAAGAAGTCCAGGTTCAAGTCCGGGCGAGGGCATTGCTCATTTTTCACGTCATCCTGCTTCAAAAATACCTAATGTCTCTTTGCCCGAACTAAAAGGTGCTGGATGATGATTCTTTACCATCAGAATCTGACGACTCGGTCCCGTTATCCCCAGCCTCTCTTTAAAAGGGGGTATTATGTAAGTAGGTATGGCGCGGTCCACCCTCCTAGCAAGCCCAAGCTCGCCCTATGGCTTTTCTACACCGGCCACGAAGGAAAGCGTAAAGGACAACACAAAATGAATAAACAACGTCTCCAGCAGGCATCCATATTGGATGTTCTTTGTTATTGGTCTATTCCAATTGCGATCAGGTTTTTTATTAATTCTTTAGGTATTAGGTATTTTCTCTCTCCTTTCCGCATAACAGGCTCAATATATTATGAACTATGTAAGCCACTATGTACTATGTACCATCTATATGTATGACTCGATGAAGCTGTATATGGAAACTAGGTAAGATGATTATGAAAGATCTATGTCTTATGAACTACTTGTATATAAGATGTACTATGACATGTAACTATGAACATATGTAACTATGTAATCATGTATACAGGACCAAGTATGCCCTTAGGCCCCATGAGGTGTTGCCCCCGACTAGTTGCGGCCTGGACTAGACCCGAATAGTCTTAGTAAGCCGCACGGGGGTCCAGATTCTGCTCTCAACTCAACTCCTTTCCGCATACTTTTGTGGTGTAATTAGAAGCACACTCGACTCGTATTCGAGAGGTCCAGGTTCGAGTCCCGGCGAGGACGTCTCCAGCATCAGAATAACCTAATGAGTCTACAGTGGCGCCAGAACAAAAAGGTGTTGGATGATGATTCTCCACCGCCAGAATTCGGCGATTGTGTCCCCTAATTCCCAATTGTCCTTCAAAATTGGGAGTATATAAGGTACTTGGCTTTTGCCAATCATTAGAATTTCGACCGCGTGACGCGGACAGCACATAACTGTACCCGAGAGTTATTACTGAGCAGTTTGGAATACATAAAGTATTTTCTCCCTCCTTCGAGCATGCCTTCGCGGTGTAACAATTAGCACACTGCGCGCGTATTTGAGAGGTCCAGATTCGAGTCCCGGGGAGGGCATTGCTCATTTTCCACGCCATCTTGCTTCAAAAATGCCTAATATCTCTACAGATGCATTAGTTAACATATATTAGAATTCATTTTTTTTTAAATTGTAGATCGAATAATAAATATAATTTTATAAAAATCTTAGAAGCATTCTTTTAAACACTTTAACTAAAATTTGAATCAGGTGTAGAATCTTCATTTAGCTACCGAATAATAAAAATTTATTATTTCGATTTAAGCAATCAAACTAAGACAGCTTAATAATTACTTATAATATATTATATCATATGCCGTAAAACTATTTCTTTCTTTATCTCTGTCACTCTCATTCCAACTAAACTACTGCTCCAAATATGAAGCAAAAATTGACTATCATATTAATTTATTCGTGTGTAATCAGTCTATTAATTGATTTATATTAATAGTAACTGGCTAATAAAGTTAAAGTGAATTATTTACAAAAAATTATCACGTGAATTATAAGGTATTTCCCCCGCCTTCCTAGCCTGCCTTCGTGGTGTAGTAGTCGGCATGCTCAGCTGGTAAATGAGAGGTCCGCGGTTCGATTCCCGGGGAAAGCGTTGCTAATTTTTCAATTCTCCTGCTTCCAAAAACTACCTAATGTCTCTACAGTGGCACCCGAACTAAAAGGGTGCTGGATGATAATTCTCCTCACCCAGGATTTGGCGATTGGATCCCCTAAAAACCCCATTCGCCCTTTAAAAGGGGGAGTATATAAGGTATTTTTCTCGCCTCCCTAGCGTTCCTTCGTGGTGCAGTGTTTCTGCACGCTGGGACGGTATTCCAGAGGTCCGTGGTACGATTCCCGGCAAAGGCGATTGCTCATTTTACATCTTGCCTGCTTCCAATTAACCTAATGTCTCTACGGAGTCATTGATTATTTAAAATGTGCAATTATGAACGGTAACTATAATGAATTTTTATGTGTTCAGTTTTAGACTCGTCGTTTCACATACGTATGATAGTTAATATTGCTGCCTCACTGCGTTGCCAATTTCGTTGTTAATTGCTAGTACACGCATACATTTTTTCACACTTATAGTTACTTTACTCATAAGCATAATCGGGGGGCAGGTATGAGGACTGAAGAAACGACCATACAGAGGTTACTCGTACACTTTTTAGACGATTTTCATTGTAGCCAAATAAAGACTTACCAATGTTAAACACAAATAACGCTTTTATTTTTTGATATAATTAATTTTTCTTTTTGTAGGTTATAATTGAATTCTTGGAAATTTATTATGGAGCCATACAGTATAAAACAACACGTTAAAATTATCGAGTTTTTCTATTCTTGTCAACGATCAATTGTTATCACGCAGCCTAAATATCGGCAATATTTTAATTCAAGTGTACTCTTTGGTGCGGTGTTATGGCCAATAGAGTTATCAGCTAATATTTCTTCGAGAATGAGGATGGAACGCCGGAAACGATTTCCGGAGCTTCTTACAGAACAATAATTGAAAATGTTTAAACAACAAAATGTGTGTGTGTGTTAATAAACCAGAGACTATTAGACAGCTGTAGCAGAATATTTGAGACGAAATACTGAGCCTTCAACCAGAAATATTACGTGGTGTAATGGGAAACGCGTTAAAAAGAGCCAATCTCTGTATCGAGAAAAATGATAGACATTTGTCTGGGTCAATTTCCACATAAAATAAATATTTAATGCATAAAAAATGAATCAAAATAAATTATTATTACAAGAGTTATCCGCATTTAACATTAGTAGGTCTTATTTGGCACACCTTATATTGACAGAAATATTTCACCTAAACGTTTTGTGTTTAAAATGCTCTTATTTGATAACCCTTATTCTTCACTAACTTTCTACATCGTAATTCCCAAGACAATAAAGCCTTTATAGTATCGGAAGAATTATTTTTTATCACTTCTCTTGTGTCAACACCTTTCCAAAGTCCAAGGAGTGTTGTAAATCAACCTTAGGAAAATCCACTATTTAAACGTCCAGAAGCGCAAATATCCATGAGATAATTATCGGGTAATTTAGTAGGGATATCGGTGAAAGGTATAACTTTGATACCCGTTTCTTGTTTCATTTTTTGAAGGAAATTAACAGTGTATATTGACGTGTGGCTGCTTGCTTTCTCTTGATGCAGTTCAACTAATTGATGGCACTGTTAGTAAAGAGAAGGTATTTCGTATTTGAATATGTTTCTGATAATATGTGGAGTTGACCTTAAAAAGTTTCCCCACTCTCTTTTATTTTTGTTTGTCGTGAAATGAAAAACCAACAACAATCATAAATCTCTTCGAAAAATATTTCTTAGATTCTATGGACCATTTTTAAGATTTTTTTCTTCTCTTTGATGATGATAAATGGATTTGTTTTCTTTGTATCATTTAAATACATCCAAGATTCATCTGTCATGCAACGCGTTCTGCGTTCGGTGATATTTCGTGTAGAAAGACGATGCACATTGTATTTTTTCGACCTTTCAGACTCAAATAGACATTAATTGCTTTGCTTTCACATGACACTGAGCATTTTTAACGATTTTGTAACTCTCTTTTGACTTGGCGAATTTTCTTTTAACATTAAAGATACAAGGTATTTCTTCCGCCTTCTTAGCATGACTTCGTGCTGTAGTGGTCAGCACACTCAACGCGTATTCGAGAGGTCCGTAGTTCGAGTCTCGGCGAAGGCATTGCTCATTTTTCACATCTTCTGTTTCGAAATAACCTATTGTCTCTACAAGGATCTTACCTTTGCAATATTCGAAATACTCTTTTTTTTTCCTTGAATATGTGTTTGGAATATTTTTTCTCCTCGGAGTCAGACGGACGTTTTTTCCTTTCTTAAGGAGTGTACCTATCGTAGCTTTATATATCGAAAAATCATAGCTTTCACAATATTGTAATAACTAGAAACGAATAATTTTCTTCGGAAAGAAGCCAAACATAGCCTTCCATATATTGCTTGTTTAAAAACGACATTTTGCTTGAAAACAAAACTGTCAAGTAGCAGACGATAATTTATACCTTCAAAAACATATTTTCAGTTTAAAAAAATTCAAAGAACAAAATAAAAATACAACAAAGTAAAAATGCCCTTAAAAATGTGCGAAACGCCTCTGTATTGACATGCTGAAATCGAAAACGGGGAAAAAATTGTCAGTTATTTACAAGAGACAATTATTATTATTTTTCGGAGCAAATTGACGCGAAGAAGGAGAAGATCTCCAGCAAACCAGCAAAAGACTAACAGTTAATATAAAGCTACGATATTGTAAGAATTCGAAGTCTTTAAGAACTCACTTAAGAACTTTAAAAGAAACCTAGTCAAGGAAGTTGCTTACCATCTATTACATACGTTTATAATATATGGAACATCGTGCATCTGTCAAAGTAATAATAGCCTGAATTCGCTTACAAAATAATTTTAAAAGTTTGAGAAACATAGGATGAACACAAAACTGTTCATAAAAAGCGAAGGAATAATCAGTCACTAGGCTGAATTAAAAAAGGCATTAAAAATATGTTATCCACCAGGCCTTGAAACAAATAATGCAGCGAAATAGTCAGGAGGATTAAAATTTATTCGACTTACAAAAACTAGACGTCTCACTCGAGATTACCTTGTAGTTCATTTGCAACTATTTTAAGATAAGATAAATAGCTGCTATAATTTCTATTAAAATGACAACTCTTTTAAACTTGATACAAGATACAGTGTCTCACAAAAGTGATGGGACACTTGTGCTTTACAAAAGGAAACTGTAGTAAAATAAATTAAAAAAACATGTAAAAATTTTTTGTGGGCGTGTTTCATACTTAAATTTAGTAGCAATTATTACATACCACACATTTTCTCAAAATATTAAAATGTTAATTTAATAGAAAATACAATTGTTTAGAACGGAGCAAAAAATGGCTCACTTAAGTGATTGGATACTCACGTAAGTGATGGGGCATTTACTTTTCCATCAAATATTTATCCAAAAAATTTTACTTTTTAAAAGGTTTTAATATTTTGTTGGATATTTCCTTTTACTTTTAAAATGTGAATTTAATCTTCTTGGGATGGATTCGACTCAATTTTTTGTGATTTCTGGAGTGATTTTACCCCATTCTTCTTGAAGCGCCGATTTTAATTGTTGTTTTGAAGAAATGGTGGTGTTTGCGAATTCTTGATTCCAATTTTTGCCAAATATTTTCTATGGGATTTAAGTCTGGAGATTGTGGTGGTGTTTTTATTATTCCAGGAGAGTTATACAGCAGCCAGACTCTAACGTTCAAAGCAGTGTGCTTGGAGTCATTGTCCCGGTGGTAGAATTTAAAATCGTTACGATGGTTCAATTTTCGTGCTGAAGATTTCAAATTTTGATTTAAAATGTCAACATACTTGTGCCGATCCATTATACTGTCAATAAAAACAAGATTACAACACTCAGCAGGGACGACATACACCCCCATACCATAACTCCTCCTCCACCATGTTTTACTGTTGGCACCAAATTCTGTTTGCGAAATTCTTCCCTGGGTTTTCTCCACATCAAGATTCTACCGCCAGAACCAAATATATTAAATTTACTCTCATCAGCAAATATAACTTCATTCCAGTAATCAGAATTCTTATTTATCTTGGATTTTGCGAAAGCCAGTCTGAGATTTCTATTCTTTTCACTTACGAAGAATTTTTTCCTGGCTGCTCTACCGTGATATCCAGCAGATCGAATTACTCTTCTAATAGTCTCAGGATTAAGGATTACTCCATATAATGCTTGTAAATCAGCAGCAACTTTAGGAGCACTCATTCTTGGATTTTTTGAACGATAATTTGCTTTATTCCATTGGATAGCTTTGATGGTCGGTCAGGTCTTCTTTTATCCTGAATCATACGATTCTTTTTATATCGTTTAATGATATTGAAAACTGTTGAACGACTCAAGTTAACTGTTTCAGCAGTTTCTCTAATAGATTTTCTACGTTCAATATGCAAATTAATAACTAATTTTCGAATTTCAGGCAAAGTTCTTTTCGTTTAGCATTCATGGCTGCACAGAGCTAAAAACACAAAAATTCCAAAAACAAACTGGAGAGAAATATGCAGACGATTTATAAATTATTGCCAATTGCTTTTGAGTAAAAAATAAAACCCCACAAAATATTTTATTGTAGTACGTAGTAGTATCTATGGTGCTCCATCACTTATGTGAGCCACTTTTTGCTCCGTTTTAAACAATTGTATTTTTATTAAATTACTATTTTAATATTTTGAGAAAATGTATGTTATGTAATAATTGTTACTAAATTTAAGTATGAAACACACCCACAAAAAATTTTTACATGTTTTTTTTAATTTATTTTATTACAGTTTCCTTTTGTAAAGCACAAGTGTCCCATCACTTTTGTGAGACACTGTATAGCATTTTAAACCAACACTTCAAGAAGAATGCTATAGCATTTTAATCCAACACTTCAAGAAGAATGCTTCATAAGCGGCTAAAGTGTGTGTCGCCGATAGTTTATTGTTGCCACTCCGAAAAATGAGTGCGAAAATTAACGTTTCCGCAGTTTTTAATTAATATCTCGGCTAATTAAAGTCGTACGAAGATGAGAACGGTATCAATGGATTCGGAGAATTTTTTGGAATCCGAGAATACGCGTTTCGAATTTCAACTCGACGCCGTTCCGTAGATATTCGAGAAAAATAATTTGGCACGTAACCAAATCCCTCTAATAGGGAAAACCCAAGAAAGAAAGTGGAAAATGTAGGGAAAACGTAGGGGAAAATTAGTTTTTAATTAATATCTCGGCTAATTAAAGTCCCACGAAGACGCGAATGGTCAAAATGGCATGCCACGGACCTACGGAATCCAACGGTGTGCTTCGCTAAGCCCGGGAGCCAGCCGTTTCGGAGGAGATGATGTTACTTCACCCCATAGATGTATGCGGCATAAGTGTCCGTTTGTCACCGATAGTTTATTGGTTGCTTGCGTAACTGTACTAGCCAATGGGATGAAGTTGCCACGGCACAGGATTGCCGTCTCAATTGAGACGTAGACAATTTCCTGTAAAACTTGCCTTTGCTATGACCATCCATATAAGTCTCAGGGCCATTAATATCTCGGCTAATTAAAGTCTCACGAAGACGCGAATGGTCAAAATGGCATGCCATGGACCTTCGGAATCCAACGGTGTGCTTCGCTAAGCCCGGGAGCCAGCCGTTTCGGAGGAGATGATGTTACTTCACCCCAAAGATGTATGCGGCATAAGTGTCCGTTTGTCATCGATAGTTTATTGGTTGCTTGCGTAACTGTACTAGCCAATGGGATGAAGTTGCCATGGCACAGGATTGCCGTCTCAATTGAGACGTAGACAATTTCCTGTAAAACTTGCCTTTGCTATGACCATCCATATAAGTATCAGGGCCAAACGCTTAAGCGTGTTGGCATTCTTTTACCTGAGCCTGCATTTGGACACGGTCAACTTTATGTTGTCTGTTCACGAGTTCGTGAAAGAACGGACGTAAAATTAAAAATAATGGCTAGTCCTCTGCAACGCGAGCTTAAAAATGACGGAAAGATCTACACAAAAATTGTTGCTCACAAAGAGATCTTTGACATGTGAATTAACATTTTATTATTTAAATCACCTTTATTGATTGAGCTAGCGGTGGCTCTTAAGAAATGTACCGCCAGTGGTTTCCTTCATTGCACTCTACTTTAAGCAATTAAGGAAGTAGAAGGGGGAAACCCCGTGGGGCAGTAAGCAAAGGGGCGTCGTCGCCACCTGCCCTGGGTAATTCAGTTTGAATTAGCAGACACCTTTGCACAAATAATTTTAATTATAATTTATAATATCTAGAACAGCGGTCATTTCGTATGACCGCCGGGCTTTCTAGTATATATATAAAGAAGATACTTGTATATAAAAATTAATTTATGTAAGAAATAATTAAATAAATATTCAAAAATATACTTTTATTAAATTAACCGGGGAAACTTTTAATAATTACCACTAAATGTGCGTTATTTACAAATTGACAAAAAGACGTTTTTATTGATATCACCTAGTTGCTACTAAAACTAACTAGATTTATTACATGAATGTAACATATACTAAACTTTAAAAATTTTATGAAATTTGCATTCTCGCTGAAGATGCATTAAGTTAAACGCTGTAACAGTTCTGTGTTGGAAGACAAGAAGTCGTATCTCTCTCGCTCTCTCTGTGTCTTTGTGTATGTGAGAAGACTGTGTGTCCTGTCGACATCCTGGTTATCGACGTGGCTAGTAGCCGCAATTCTCTTCAGCGTGATAGGGCGATCTGACGTACAGAACCCTGATGTGGAAAGGATCTGTCGAATATTACAATGGGAATAGGTAGATGAATGTTCCAGATACCATTTATATGAAGTATCGTATGGAATCATAACCAGCCAAGCACCTGATGTCATACCAGTCAAGTTAACCAACTCCAATCTTCTTTATGTTATGCTTATTTCTCACACGTCATAGGTTGACATATCCTGTTCATCTGTTTTGTTAAGCTCAATGAAAGCACCCATTAAAGTTTAACAGACGGCCCGTTTTCTCTTTTGGTAAGGAACCAGGTTTCACACTACACCAAAACTTTCATCATCACCAAATTAAAATTCAATAAGAATAATGCTCACTCTCGTGCAGTGAAACTTTAGTCTGATATAAACAGTTAACAAGTTACTTTAAAACCAACTTCTGTATTTCAGTTTAAGAAGCTGTTATATTAATATATACATAAAAATACTTTAGCCCCTAAATAAATATTCCTATATAAAAGAAAATAATTTGAAATTTAATTTTGAAGACATTTTATAGCATAGATATTACTAAGTATTTGCAGAACTCAAAACACTTAATTGACATTGCGTTCTAAGACATTTTAATGAAATGAAAATGTTTTTTAAACATAAATTTCTTGAATAAAAATGTTTAAGCTTTAACATTTAAATTATTTATTGCATTGAGACATTAATGCTTCAATTCTTCTTCTTGTTTTTATACATTTTCGCAGATCGAATTAGTATATTAAAAGGGTTTGCTTTCTTTATTTATAGAAACAAAATTGTTACTAACAGAAAATGAAAAATTTGAAAGGGATCAGCTATTAAAGAAGATACAGGTGCTTGAAGAAGAACTCGCTTCTAAAGAAAGACAATTTGATGAAGCTCTAAAACAAAAGCGTGAAGAAATTCTCTACAAGTATGAAAGGTAACATTTTCTGAGAAAATTAAATAATTGACATAAATTGCGAAAATATATCTGAAGAGATTATTAGGCTTTCGGAGCGAGAAAATAGGAAAAATCAAATCTGCTTTCCCTGGGATTCAAACAAAGTATCTTCCACCGAGTAGCAGTGTTTCCAGATGGTGCAAACTTTCGCAAATTTGCAACACTTTTGACAAACTTATATCTATGCGATTTTGAGAATTTTCTGCTACTCCATCATTTCCTTGAGCTATTTCTTGTTACTTAATATTTTTAATGTATCATACAACTCGCATGTTCGTACAATGAAGGTATTAAAATTAATTTATATTAAAAAATAGTTACTTATTCATGCTGAAGTAAAAGTTGTAAAGAGCCGATCGTAGCCCATGAATGCACGAGCAGTTTTCAGCACTATTCACTAGTGTTTCCTTGTGTTTCATTGATAACTTTTTTAATAAACTGCTGGCCATTCATAATGGAAACACCATGAAGGAAACACCCAAACAACATGAAACTTGCATCATGTGTATATCACAATGGAATATGCAAATGATTACGATTTCAGCGGGCGACTGCAGTGCTTTTTACAATCCATATATAAAGGGAGGAAAGATTGCCGATTTGAATGGCGCAAATTGTTCTCTCGTGAGATTTTTTTCGTACGTGCAGCTTGAGTATTCCTCGTAGAAAAATACGAGCAAGCATTCATTCATTCACTTTCAAGCATGTTTCTGAGTCCGCCAGAGATAAAATTGTTGCACATAGAGATTGCGGATTTTCTTCCGGAAAAACGGTCATCGGATCGCACGTAGCTAAACAATAGTCATGCAAATAAGGAATCGGTTTCCTTATATAAGTGGTTTATGCATCGAGATACTGAGCAGTGTTGCCAGAAATTATTCAGCTAAATTTCAACAATTTCTGTGAGAGTATAAACCACTTATAACAAAAAAGCAAGTACGGAAAAATAAGGTAAATCTTTATATTACTCCCATGTGAAGGATAAATGTAGAGAGTCAAGAGACCAGGTCGACCAAATGCAGATGATGTCGAATTATCACATTTTAGCTCGATATAGTTTCACATTTTAGTTTATCATATTGTAAAGACTATTAGGCTTTTAGAGCCGGGAAACATGAAAAAGCAACTGCGGCCTTGCCGGTATTCGAAGGACAGACTTCCACCTGCTAACTGGATGTACTTCAGTTACACCACGACAACACATAAAGGTGACTAGGATATTTCCTCACGCGTATCATAAAAACTTTTATAGCAATACGGTTCTATGAATACTAGCAATAAATATATAGTTATCAGTAGCTACACTATCAATCGCTTCTTTCTGAATCGATCTCAGAATTCGGTTCTTCTGAACCATCAATATCTGCAGATTAATCAAAGCCTCCTTCATGTTCAGAATTTTTATCGCTATTCTTGCATTGCCCCTTTATTAATTTTACTTTTTAAATTCGTGATTTTTATTTATTTTTTTGTATTTTTCATTTTTATTGACATTTCTTTCACTGTTACTTTCTATCTGCTACTAAGCTTGCTGTTTGTTATGGCTAAAAATTAAGGTAGGAAAAATGAAGCCATTGAAAACTTTGTAAATTATTGCTTTTGCTGTGAGACTGATGAAGGTCTCCTATTGGATACAAACACTTCTTAAGCTTTGACTCCTTTCATTGGCTTAGTAGCTCAAAGGAACTTAAAAATAAAATCGCCTTTGATTGGCTTAGTAGCTCAAAGGAACTTCGAAATAAAATTGCCTTGTGTAGATGAAATGCCATCAGTCGACATGTTTTCGAGGGAGACTTGTCGCTGAGCAATTTTGCTTCCTCTCCTCACCTCCTTTACCTTTAAGTGACAAAAGCATTAATGTGAAGAAGAGTGAATTGAAAAATGAGCAACGCCTTCTCCGGGACTCGAACCATGGACCTCTCAAATACGTGCCAAGCGTGCTGACCACTACACTACGACGGCATGCTAAGAAGATGAGATAAATACCTTATATACTTCCCCTTTTAGGGCGACTGGAGTTTTAGGGAAACCAATCGCCAAATCCTGGTGGTGAAGCATCATCATCCCCCCCTTTTTAGTTCAGGCGCCAGTACAGAGTCATTATGTATTTTTTGAAAGCAGGAGAGATGAAAAATGAGCAACGCTTTTCCCGGAACTCAAACCTCTCGAATATGTGCAGAGCGTGCTGACCACTATACTACGAAGGCGGGAGAAATACCTTATATACTTACCAGTAACTTCTTTTTATCAGTATCATCTTGTTAATATTTGATTTCCAAAGATTTAATTTGGCACTTTAATATAGACTTTGATAATTACAAGATTGACTTTTGATGATTAACTAGATAAGTAATAAAAAAAGTACGAGGGTGTTAAAATATCTCGTGACAGGTTTTTTTTTCCCTAAAACTAATACATAAATATAATATTCTGATCACAAAGAAGCAATGTCTATCTTTTCATGTGATTGCCTTAGGATAACAATTTTAATTAGTACGATGATCATTATACTTATGTTAGTCAAAAACAAATCATTCCGTACTTTTTTTAACTTTCAGTTTAATGAGCAACTCAAAACCAAAAATGAAAGTTACAAGTTTAGTGACATGTGCTATTTTACAGAGGATGGAAACATACACAGCTGAAAAAAACAGCTTCTATTTTAGAATAGTTTCTTAATTTTTCCTAGAAATTCTTAAATATAAGTCTGTAAAAGTTTAATTTAATATATTCGTTCCTAACTTTTACTTGTTAAGTGACGATTCGTTGTGTTTCTAAAAATACTTTGGTAACTGGTGATTTTACCATATGAAAACCATATAAAAATTTATTTTTACAAAACTTTCCACACCTTCCACAGTTTTCAATGTTCCTAAACCGCCGCATTTTATTTAAGAAAGTTGTAAGTTAAAATGTAAGTGTAATATCAAAATATAAAGATCTAAGGTATTTCTCCCGCCTTCTTAGCATGCCTTCGTAGTGTGGTGGTCTGCAAGTTGGGCGCGTATTTCAGAGGTCCGTGGTTCGATTCCCGGCGAAGGCGTTGCTCATTTTTCCTCTCTCCTGATTCAAGAAATACCTAATGTCTCTACAAAGAAATAATGGGCTTAGCTACTTTTGTTTTGAACTGTTAGTATAGCTTAGTCAGAAAGATCGTGTCTCAAGTGCATATACTATCTTGTTAAGCTTTTCGACGAGCAGTGAATTACAAATTTCGCATTTGTTGTTTTTAGTTTTCATTATTATTATAAGTTTAGCATTTATTATGATTATATGAATTTTTATTTTCATTTAATTTTACAGCCTTCTTTCAGCACTCAGCCAACACACAGAGGTAGTGTCTGAACATGCCGTTCAGCTTTCCCAAGCACAGCAAATCGCAGCTCTAAAAGATAGACAGCAGTTAATACTCGACACACAATCCAAGTATAAAGCATCTTCTCGCCTGATGTTACGAATACTCGATCAAAATAAGCAAATGAAAATGCGAGCAAAGAATATGAAACTGGATCTGGATGTCATTTCTTCACTGGCTGAGATTCTGGCTGCCAAATCTGAAAAGACGAAAAAAGTAATTTTTCTTTTGGATTTTTATGTTTCTAGAATGGCCTCAATCCTGTGGTTGACCGGCAACTAAGTAAATAAGATGAATAAGCAGCTACTGCATTCTAATAAGTTGTATATATTGGGAGCAGTGTACCTATTTTCATAGTATATTATAGTATAGTATAGCATAGCATAATATAGTTTAGTATAGTACAGTATATAGTATAGCATAGCATCATATAGTATAGTATAATATGGTATAGCATAACATAGTATAGTATAGTATATTTTTCAAAAGATGAATTCTTTCGGAGTTTAGGATTATTAAATTTCTAAGTGAACATACTGCTGAGTTCTATTTGCTTGTTTCACGTAAATTCAGTCCAATTCGCGTAGTTAACAGATATCTGGTTGGAACGAAAGTTTTCCGCAAAACACATTCTTAATAAAGTTAGAAAAAAAACATGAAATCAGCGACTTTAGTGCGAGTTGTAACCACCACCCAAGTCTATGATTTTCTGCCGACATTTTGGCAGTTTTTGAAAGCCTTCGTCCCAGAAACTTGGTGAAAAACCGAGTTCAAAGAATCAACCTCAATTCGGACACGTCCTTTGCAGATTGGAAGACATCCCCAGCAAGACGTAGCTGCAGGTATGAAAAAAGGAAGAATTCCAAAAGAGCGATGTCGATGCTATGTGGTGGGTGTGGCAAAAGATCTCCGTACAGAATCTCGTTCGATCTCCTTTCGAGTTCGTACAAAGTCCGGCTGATGAATGTCGGCAAGACACGTGTGGTCTTGGATTATCTTGATGGAACATTACCTTTTAGGGCCGGAATTAAGTTCGACGTTTTTCCTTGATAGCAGCGTCAACAAGGCCAGCATTTCGCTGTACATCTTACTGCCGAGGTTTTTACCTTTTCTCAGACACTCTTTGTGGAAAATACTACGGGAATCCCACCAGATACAAAGCAAGTCTCTTTCTTTCAAATGCCAAAAATCATTTGACAAAATATAATTAAACACGCGAACTGTGTTCTGCAGATGTTATTTGCGGTGGCGGGGAACTTTCGTTAAAACCGATATTTACTGAAATACATTGCTTATTCGGAGAAATAGTCAAGAGAGTGTTTATAATTAATTTCAATTACATCGTTTTGAAAGACACGCTTTTAACACCTGGCGGGATACCAGTTATTCACCATTGGTAGTATAGGTGTAGTCTGTCCGCATTAATTATTAAACTCCTCCCCAGTTTTAATGAATAATACTCCGAGGAGGGACCGACGGTATCTCATCTATCATCCCTCACAAAAAAGACTCAAGAGTACATTTTACTCGCTCTCTACTTTGACTCGCCTTGTATTCTGTCCTTTGCTTCACAGATACTATGAACTTTGGATAATGATTGCCTTCTGCGGGTTTGTACACCAGTCTAACGATACAACAGCCAGGAGAATCAAACACTATCCCAATCGCTTTTGAAAACACCCGAACAGCGGCAGAATAGATAAAAGCATACAATTTTCCCAACTACTATTTGCTGCATCTCTATATAAAGACGTCCGTTTGAAATTTGTGCAAACTGAAATTCATTTCTAAGTTGTAGGCATACAGTCTATTCTTATCCCGGAATACTCTGGCTACATGGTATTTTCTATTTTACTGGGCAAATACGAGCCAGTTTTTCTTCGGAAACTTTCTGCATTTCAATACAAACAGCACAGAGGTTACACATCTAGTTATTTTGAAAAAAATGAAATTAATTAAAAAATAGTCTGAAAGCTTTGAGTTTTTATATTACGACCAAAGAGACGTTTGTTTTTTCATTTACACATACATACACGTTTCGAGAGCATTTCGGCTAACACCCTTTTGGGCTAAAAATGTTGTTACGAATTTTGTACTTAGATAGGTAATTTTAGTAGAACTGTAAGTGAAACTATTGTATTTCTTTTGTAACACGAAAAATCTAAAGAAAAAAGCTATGCTGGAAAAGTGAGAATACAGGGGCAGCTGCGTTTCACATTGTGTAAATGGATATCTCGGTAATTTGGCGAGAAATCGCCAAATTTAGGTACCATTTGGAGACATTTGGTCCGGTTCTTGTATCACCGTAACAGGTATTGAAACTGAATAAATGTAATTGCCGCTATGTAAGCTGTAACCGTAATTCCAAACTCACATTGCTTTGCAATAATTTCGAAAAGCAGAAAGTGCTAGAAATACCTTGGCGTTCGATTGAAAACCATAAAAGACTGGAGAGAGAGGGCATCTGCCCTTAGTCAGTTGGTTGTTGTTGCTATTTTTGAGAATTGTTACTTCCGCGTGAACTGAGATATCCGGGTTAGATATCTTTAGGTGCTCTTTGTATTGCTTTGGGTTTAACAATCTTAGTAATTTGAAGTGTAACTACTGATTGTAATCTGTGATACTGGGAACACCTGTACGAGAATTTCTGTGGAAAATTCCAGAATTTTGAAGTGTTTATTTTGATTTAAAAAAAATTTATTTACCTATCATCGGACCTGTGTGCATTCAGTCTATTACGAATCCTTACGCAGGCAACATTTTTGGTGTCAGAAGTGGGATTGAATGACAGTGACAAGAGCGATGGATAAGCAACTATAAGACAGCTCGTGACTGCCATTGCTGTATTTCAAAAAAAGATGGAAGGGACAGCCAACTTTGTTAAAAAAAGAGATAAAAGCGCGCCAACAATCCATTAAAGAAAAGCTGGAAGCAAGTCAGAAAAAGACTGAAGCAGGTTAAGAGGAAATGAAAAGATAGATTACCCGTAATAGAAACAAGTTTAATGGCTATGGAAGGCAGAATAGACACTGCTGAAAATAAAGTTGGACAAACTGAAGAAAAAGTTTCTTCCGTCAAAGTACAAACAGAAAAGAGAGTTTCTGCCGTAGAAACAAAAAATCTATTACAGAGTTTCTGCAGTTATCAGAGAAGCTGACATCTTAAAGAAATTGAGGCTCTGGCAACCATTATTCCATGTAGCATGGACAAGACAGTAACATCATCATTATCGGGACGAGTTTTTAAGAACATCCAGAAAATCTTAGACGGGTGCTTCGGAAATTGAAAGAAGCCACTCTAAAGCTCAGTCCCGCTAAATGTAAACTATTCAGATAGGAAGTAACTTACCTCGTACATGCCATCTCTGCCAAATGTGTGTGTACAGATCCAAAAAAAGTGTCAGCAGTTAAGGACTGGAGACGCTTTGAAAATGCGCATCAGTTGAGGAATTTTCTGGGGCTTTGCACCTACTATAGGACATTCATGAAAGGCCTTTCTTCCATCGCAAGATCCCTTCTAAGCTGACATAGACCAAGCAAAAGATTTTGCGGACAAAAGTGAGGTCGCATTCAACAATTTGTAGGAAGCTTTAACATCTGCTCCAATACTGACGTATCCTCAGCTTGACAAGCCATTTATTTTTGACACAAATACGAGCAATGAGAGTGTCGTTGCTATCTTGTACCAAGAAATAAACGGCCAGGAACGTGTTGTGGCCTACTGGAGCAAGTATCTATCTAAACTGGAAAGGAATTAGTGTGTCACCAAGAAGGAGTTGCTTGGCATAGTAAAAGTCGTAGAACTTTTCCATCATTATCTCTACGACAGAAATTTCCTGCTCCGCATAGACCATCCATCGTTGAAAATTGCAAAAACCCAGAAGGTCAAATAACCAGGCGGATACAGCGACTCCAGGGATATGACATAATTATTCGTCATCGGACAGGATCATCACGTGGAAATGACGATGCCCTGTCTAGAAGACCCTGCCCTGAAATCTGCTAATATTGTTCCTGAGTCGAAGCAAAATACGAGCAACTTAATCCGGTCGTGAGTCAAGTTACGATATCAAACATCATCTAATCCAGACCTATGCAGCGACGAAGAAGTCAGAAAAGACCACCAGCCTGACGACGGAGAAGATGAAGACACGAGAGCTACAGGACATCGATTCAACGAAGGACACAATGTATGGTTGTGGAATCCGAGTCGACGAAAAGGATTCTCTCCTAAACTACAGTCACCTTGGGATGGTCCTTACACTCCTAGAGAGGCTGAATGACATCGTAGTTCGAATCTGTCATCGAATTCGAAGCCTAAAGTCGTTCATTACGAGAGGATAGCTCCTTATTATGGCCATAGTACATAGTGTGTTGCGCATCTCGCAATAAAGGATAGCTTTGATAAGTATCCCTGTAAGGATTATGTTTATTTGTCTAAGAGTTAAACTTTGAGTTGGAGCTCCTTTCCTATCGCTTCTTAATTTCAACTTACAACTTCCGGCCAGAACGTATTTTTTGAATCACGTGTGAATGCAAATTTAAGGAGTAGTATTTAACCTTGAAGTTCTACTGTCTTAGTTAGAGAGAACCAGTGATTCTGACTAGCACGTGTCCGGCCTTTATAGGCTACTCACTCTTAAGATATCATTACACTCGGCCGTACGTTAGGCTCAGCTTCGACTATATTTTTTTAGTTAAGATTAGTTTAGTTCTTAGTCTCTTAAGTTCAAGCCCGAGTGTCAGCTTTATTGTACAACTCCAGGATGGAGTTCTGTTACACCTTATTGGAATAATAAAGCGCTATTTTACCCTTCTCACTTGTTGTTTGCTATATCACGAACTGAAGCGATTATTCGCTTACCAGTATTGTGTTGTAAGATTCAGTACACAGTACAGAATCTTACAACACAATAAAAACGTCTGCCCGACGTTACTTCGGCAACTCCTAAAAGGAAAATATAGTATGACACGTAACAAAACACAATTTAATTACATGAAACGTTAATCATTCATTTTTCTGACTACATCTGATTACTAAGGAAATTACATCTCGTTGCTATGTTCTAAAGATATTAAACAACAGTTCATCACGTAACGTCAGTCTTTGACTCGCACAATTTTGAGAATGAAATGATGCCATTCGCAACATAGTGTATATAGTGTAAATAAGTAAGAGCATAGTCCTACTTTTTTCCCCTAAATTTGTAAGTTTATGCATTGAGTTATTGATTAGTATTTGAATTGATAATAATCGAAATTATTGTTTCATTATTTACATGACTTGCCGTAGTTCTAATTATGGTTCCCTGCCCAAGCTTGTACTGCTATTTTTGCGAATAGTTAGTTCTGCTTGAACTGAGCAATCAGGGTTAGCTTTCGTTTTAGGCGATCTTTCTAATGCGTTGTGTTTAACTTAGTAGTTTGAAGTGTAACTACTGATTGTAATCTGTGATACTGTAAACACCTGTGCGAGAATTTCTGTGGAAAATTCCAGAATTGTGAAGCTTTTCTTTTGATTAAATAAATTTTATTAACCTATCATCTGACCTGTATGCATCCAACCTACTACTAACCCGTACGCATGACAATAGAGAGTCTCTCACTCTGGAGATAAAAATGTTTCGTTCTTTATAGTGTTGCCACTGTTCGCATTAAAATCGCTGAGTTTTTAATGAAAATTTCCTTAAAGTTTTGCAAAACAGGGAATAGATAATAAAACAAATTCAAATTTCTGGCTTGCGGGTATCCACATTCGGGTGGAGAACTAACTACATTATTAAAAATTAGATCGGTCTAGATACCGTTCTTTTTTTTTTTTTTTTTTTTTTCAGAATTCGAGAGACTTACATTCATTCATGCAGGTTCTTCATTACTTAATTTTTTTTTAATATAATACAGAGAGATATTTATTAGCAACAATTTGAAAAGTGCTTCAACGCTTCTTAGTGGTTCGTTGCAAAATGCCGTTTCCAAACTAATAGCCGTTAAAAGCTAATAATATTTTTCTTTGCTTTAAATTTAAATATTTTGCGATAATACAGGGCGTTTATAATGTCCCGGATCCATTTTGATGTTTAATAAGTCATAAAATAATAAATATAGATTAAAATTAATAACATAAATGGTTAGATAGACTCAAAAAGTTTCATGACCCTTGTCAATGAACTTCCACGTGTGCCCCCTTCGTCGCACGGAGAATATCAAGTCGATATTCAATTTCCCGTCAGGTACCGGCAAGCATGTCGGCATCCACAGAGGCTATTGCGGTTGTAATTCTGGCTTTTAGGTCATCAATGTTCGACACTCTCCTCCTGTAAACGTTGTCCTTTACAAATCCCCAAAGGAAAAAGTCCAGCGGCGCTATATCAGGTGATCTGGGTGGCCAAGGAATTGCACCTCCTCGCCCAATCCATCTTCCTGTAAAATGGTCATTCAAAGAACTAGGAACGATGGTACCCCAATGAGCGGGTGCACCATCTTGTTGCAAAAAGACATGTGGCTGAAGCTCTTCTAGTTGTGGAAATACTAAGTTTTCCAACATGTCTAAGTATACGACTGATGAGACCGTCTTTTCCGTAAAAAAGAAAGGCCCAATGACTCGGTCGTGCATTAGTCCACACCACACATTAACCTTTGGGGAATCCCTTTGTGCCTCACGGTATTTATGGGGGTTTTCAGATCCCCATATGCGCACATCATGGCGATTAACAATGCCAGAAAGATGAAAGGATGCTTCGTCGGAGAACATTATGCGCTTCAGAAATTCAGCATCATCTTATATCCTCCTTAGCCTATCTGTTGCAAAGGCCATCTTCCTAGGCCTATCGTCCGGTTCCAAAACTTGAACAATTGTAACTTTGTATGCATGAAGTCTTAATTTTTTCTTAATAACCTTGTACACCGTCGAAATTGGCATACCCAATTCTCTTGTCGCTGATCTGACAGATCTTCTAGGATTGTGTAAAAATGTCTCTCTGACACGCTCAGCATCAAAATCACTTGTGCAGGGACGTCCGGAACGTTTCTTATCTGCGATACTTCCAGTTTCTAGAAAATTCTTTTTTCACCGCAAGATGCTGCTTTTGGACGGAGGATCTTCTTGGTAATTTCTTCTACAATTTCTCTGTGTTTGCATATTTAAAAAAGTACAGATATTTAGACAGGAAAATGAAATTATCTGAAATTAACCACACGCGCAGACGGTATTTAAAAAGTAAAAATATCCAAACCTGAAAAGGAAAATATATAAATTATTCCATCAATAAATGCCATAAGTTTGTTTATATCTTCATTATTTTATGAGTTATTAAATATCAAAATGGGTTCGCGACTTTATAAACACCCTGTATTACAATAATACAAACTTCTTGTTTCTTCTTTATGGTCTTTTCACAGCTTAAAGTTTTAGCTCTATGTTTAAATGTTTAGAGGGGCTACTCTGGAATATTCCCTTTGTGATGCATTATACTCTAATCTCTTTTACTTTACAGTTTTCTCTTTGTAATACATTATTCCGTAAGCCATTTGGATTACTGTACTATTTTTCACTTATAATAATACCTTATGCCTTAATTTTCAGCAGTATATTTAAGTGGTAATGAACTTCCTTCTTTCTAACTTCGTCCAATTTCGCTAATAATAATAATTAATGTAATTGTCAAAACCTGAAATATAAAACTATTAACTTCTCTGCTTTCGCAGACCATTTATGCGCTCTGTTCTGCAAGAAAGGGGATTCAGTAGATATTCCAAATTTCGAACATTAAATTAAATCAATAATACATATCGTGTTATTTTTAGGCCCACAGATGAAGCGCAACTTTCGTTAACCTAACATGCCATCTCTAATGCATTTCAACTATACTTGCATATTATTGAAAATTCTTGCTCCGTAATCAGTGTATTGTATGAAATTTAATGTCTCTAAAGAGTAATTATTTAGTCATTATTTGTAAATGTCATTGAAGTACAAAGTTAAAGCAACATAAATTCCTGAACTAAAAACTGATGTTCATTCAAATTCATACATTTTCAAATTAAATTGACTAAAAATGTTCTACAGTGAGGTTTACAGAGAAAGTTTACTATTGCTCTTTGTGAAAATTTTGTAACATTTCTAGAATTGCTTCTCATTCAAAATGTTACTGCAGTTGTTATTATTAAAACACAGTCAGTAATGGAAAAGCATAAAATACACTTGAATACTCTAGAGATTTGATTGATTTTCGAGTGCATTAATTTATTTTCTCTTTTCAGAAATTGATTTCTTCACTTGAATTCTGTAAGAAGAGAAACGAACAAAAAGCGCAATTGGACCATAAAGACGATATGAATGAAAAAAGACAGGAATTAGAAAAATTAAGAAATAGAGTGAGTATTAATCAAAAATAACTAAATAGCCGAATAAATTAAAATTCAATGCATTGATTGAATAATAATTAATCCTCATTTAAAATAAAAACAGCAATATCCGCACTGGCCGCGACCATGAGTACAAACACGCATAAGCCAGTCGGACAAGCACAGAAAATTACTTTGAATAATTTAAATAAAATAAAAATTTTGAAAGCCTTCAGATATTATAGATAGACTTCAGATATTAAGCTCAAAGGGGCGTTTTTTTAACGTTTTGGGATCATTAATTAAATATCATGTTCCTTTATTTACTAAATATCATGTTCTTCGCACTTCCACCATAAAATTCAGTTCAAGAGCAATATCGTAAAATAACTTTAAAAGAGCATATCTTTAGAATTTCCGATACACAGTCTCGCGCGCTGGAGATAATTTTTTTTTTCGTACAGTGTTGCCACTGCTCGCTTTGAAATCGTTGAGTTTCTTAATCAAAAACTCATAAATGCTTTATAAAATATGAAATAGATATCAAAACAAATTATATGTAGATATATTTATATTTTGGTGAAAATATAAGTGTTTTCAAAGCTTAATTTTGCTAGTGTAATAGATAACTATTATTGTATAAGGACTGTTATTATGATTACTTAAATTATTGTAATAATCCTATCGAAATAAATAATTATGATATTTTTTTTTTGATATTTTGTGCTAAAATCTAAATGCATTATTATACATACAGTTGTAGTGGAGGGAAACCAAATTTAGTTTTCAAAAAAAGAAAGAAATTATTTCTTGCATAAAAGATCAGAATATTGGCAATGTCACGTTAAATCAAGTACGATCTAGGAAGACACCACTTAAAGCTTAAATGTGGTAAATACCTGCTGACTTCCCCCCCTTTTATTATTTTATTTATTTATTTATTTTAATTTATTTTATTTATTTATTTATTTATTTTTGGTATAACTACTGAAAGACTATTTCCTCAAAATTATGGTTCCATTATTTTTAGGAATCTTAGTTTTAACATGCTGTTCTAATAATTTGTGTTCATTAAAGAACCTTGAGAATTATGCGTAGTGGTAGTTGTAGAGCCGTAGGTTGGTTCTCTACAACAGAAGTATAAATTGCACTAAGTTGAAAAACCATACGATTTAATCAGTGACTTTAAGTTTAACAAAATAGCTGAACATATCGTGACAGACTATGACACATTGATGAAATTATACAATGCATAATATATGAAAGCACTTGATAGGTACAACATGATTTGATCCTGCTCAACAGTCCATTCATATAGGCAGGTACTTGGCGATGTAGAAAGATAATCCAGAATGTTTGAGTAGATTCCTATTTTCATTGTGCTGTTCCTTGTTAGGACTCCATGCATATTATTTCTGCACCACGCTTGAGAGAATCGCAACTGCTGGCCACGTCGACAAACACCATCAGAATCGGGAAGATACACTACGCTTTCTCTCTCTCCAAAAAGGAAAAAAAGGGTAGTTGTATTGGAAAGATACACTACCCTTTTTCTCTCATTCGCCTCCCCGTCGGGAGGAATCTTCCACACAGTTATATAGTTCACCGCTCAGCGCAATCGCGAACAGGAGAAATGCAAATTCTATTTCCAACATAACAGTAAGTAATGAAATGTGCACTGTTCACATAAAATTCGTTATGTTATGAAAATAATTTTTCAACACTTTTGGTTTCCAGCATTGCACATCAATGCGAATCTTTGCGTTTATTTCTGATAACGTGAAATAAAGACGTGAAAGATAATTGACGACAGGATTACTCAGCATTACGGGGACTTTTACCTCCTTCGATAGTAAAGTCCCTCTTTCTGTAGAACAGCGAACTCTTACGTGAGCACTTCATCCTGCGGCACATAATTAACACCCCTTTTAGATGATTCTACGTATTTGGCAGAATGCCTTTGACGTAGTCGAACTGTAATATCTTCAAGATGTCAAGTTCAAGTCGAAGAAAGTATTTCCACACTAACTTCAAAAATAGACAAAATTATTTTTGTTATTTGGTGTTAAAGGCCTTTAATTTAAAACTATCACTATCTGAAGTTTAATTTTGCTTAATTTTATAAACAGTAGTATGTTGATGATTATTATTTTATATTTAAACAAAGTTGAAAATGATAACAGCGCGTAGAGTTCCTCACTTTGTAAATGCTAAGTTACAGTTGAACGTGAAGAATTTTAAGAACTGATAAGCGAATAATCGCTTGAGTTCGTGTGACAGGAAGCAACAAGATGGAAGAGTATATAACACTTTATTATTTAAATAAGATTTAACAGAACTCTGTCTTGGAGAGCACAGTAAAAGCCGACACTTGGGCTTGAACTTAAGAGGCTAAGAATTAAACTAAAACTAATCTAAACTAAAAAGATATAGCCGAAGCTATCAAGATTCTAACCGAGTTGGCTACTTAACGCTAATTCACTGCGAAGCTATCAAGGGCCTAAAGTACGGCTGAGCGTAATAATAGCTTACGAGAGAGTAGCCTAAAAAGGCGGATGCGTGCAGACAGGATACCTGGTAACTCTCTCGCTAAGACCGAAGAACTTCGCGGTTAAATAGTCTTCCTCATTATGTATTCAGACGTGATTCTAAAACTACGTTCTGGCCGGAAAGTAAGTTGAAGTTAAGAATCGACAGGAAAAGAGCTTTAACTTAAAATTTAACTGTTAATAAAATTAACATAATTCTTACAAGCGCTGAAGTCTCTTTTGCTGTTTCAAAATAAAAAGATGTACCCCCAGGTGTTCTGAGCCGGGGGGAAATGTATACTTTCAGGGAGAATTCGGTCAGGCTTTTATCTAGCTGTTAAGTATTTAGTTTTAGTTTATGAATATAAATAATTATTTTTATTCAAATTTTGATATTTATCAATATTTTCTACAACTTTTTTTAGTTTAATTTTGTAAAAATACATTTCAAAATATACGAAATCCAAATAAATGTATATGTACTTTTCGAAATTGGGAAATTAGAAGGAGGAAAGAACTTCTGTTGACTTGTCCAAGAAGTCAGTGCAGAGGAGTCAAATAGGACCAAAAGTATCCAGAACAGCCGCAGCAACATCAATAATTTTCGAAGAATAGAGGAATAGGTGCGAGAGAGCTATATCTATACTGCAGAGCTCGGCCCAAATAGCAGGGCTGTCGAAGAGATGATTTGGAGAAAGTTGGATATCAGTACAATGCGGAGAGCTATTATAATTTCGTTGGCCATCAGAGGATATCTTCATAACTTTCAAGTGTTTTGTCCTCAGTCTGGCTATGGTAATGGAAATGACACGGTTACAATTTAGGGCAGGAATCGAATTCTTCTTTATTGATTGGGAGGTAAGTCTTCGGCTGGCTATTGCGTCGGGTTAAGCTGTTGGAAAGTTGAGAACTATTTAGGGCGTCTTTGGCGAGGCTATCAGCCTGATCATTTCTGTAAATATCAACATGCTCTGGTATCATCTGTAGTATTCAGGTCCTGTGGGCTGCAATAGTTTTGTTCGTGAGCATGGTAATGTCCTGGGTAAGTTCAGAGTTGCCCCCTAGAATGGCTTGGAGCGCAGATTTAGAATTAGAGAATAATAAGAGGTCACTGGAGTTCTGGATTGCCTTGGAATGGTAGATATCTAAAGCCTTTTTGATGGCCACGAGCTCGTAGGTATAATTTGAGACAATTTTACCAACAGGTATTTTATGGGATTCAAATTTACCATTAGCATGAATGAAATAGATGCCAGCCCCACCCTTATCGAGGTCTGAGTCTGAGGAACCATCTGTATATGCAATAGCTAGACCTTGGGCCGAATTTCAAAGTTCATTGATGGTGTGGTTGCCTTTCTCCTGGATTATTGCAGATGATATTTTTTTTTTTTTTTTTTTTTTTTTTTTTTTTGTAGGTTTAAATTTACAATTACTTGCGGGAAGGGACTGATAGAGAGAAGAGTTTCTTTAAAAATATCAATAGCCTTTGTGCTGTAAGTTAATTTCTCTCCTCATTTCATTGTCGAATTGTAGGGTGGAGGACCATTCACCTATTTCTTCCATCCAACGCCTGAAAAGTTTTGCTGGAGAAGGAATTCCCAGCAAACCTTTTCCTTGGAAAGGAACTTCTAGCAATAGTGAAAGAGGTGTATGAGACAAAAAAAGTGAGAGCCGCTGATTTACACTATATACGATTCGTCCTTTATATCAAAATAAACCACCGTTATCTGGAGTTTAATTTTGCATAATTTTATTAATAATAATATATTGGTGACTATTATTATAGATCTAGCAAAGTTATAAAAAACAAGGTGCGAAGGTGCCGTGCGAAGGTCTTTCTTGCTGTTTCAGAATAAGAAGGTCTACCCTATGCATGATTTGTTCTTTATATAAAAATAACACCACCAACTGAATATTAATAAAATTTCAACAAAACACTAATGCTGCTTCAGTCTTATAAGCTTGAAATAAGAAGTTTATTTCAAATTAAGAAAATTAATTTAAAATATGTACTCAAAACATTTCAGAATTTTTAGAAAAATAATTGCAATAATAAAATATTCTTTTATCCAGTATTTTCGAGCCAAAGATTATGCAAGAGAACTAGAAGAAGTTCTGGCGGATCAGGAGAATTATAAAATGTTACTTCAAGAAGAAAAAGAAAAACGAAATACTTTGCAAGAAAAATTTTCATGTATTGCAAACGCAGCTGAATTTGTAGCAAAGCAAAAGAGCTTGGTATGTTGGAATTGTTTATTATATTTATAAAATTTTTACTGAATTAATCGAGTGCTAAGAGACTAAAAATTTAGCACTTTTATTTGAAAAACCTTAATATGGTCTTAAAAGGAGTATTTCTTTTCTAACTAATAGAAATGTATTTTCTACACAAATAATTTTACTGTAATTATTTTTGTTACAAAAATGTGAGTTATGGGAGACTACGTGTCCCTGTTTCATCCTATATTATAATTTGTTCATGTTTAAAATGACAGGATACTACCACAAACATTAGCAAAAGAAATAATTTCGAAATTATGGTTTATTTTGTCAATTATTTTCTACTTAGTCTCCAACAGGATGATGTGATTCCACAGTGTACTTCATCTTATATCGGTGATTGTATGGTTGCTTGGTTCACGAATTTAATTCGTTCCTAAAGACCATCAACCAAAAGAAATATTCATAAACCAAAACTATATACCTCTCGGGATTTACTGTAAAATGTATCAATCCTTCTTAGACCTCACATGATTGCTTAATTGAAATTTTCTATAGTACTTTATGCACGAGCTCACAAACACAGAAATAATGGAAAACATTAAATCTAAAATAAAAAATGTCATTACGATATTAAAGAGGTAAATTATATTAAAAAGTGAATTTAATTCTACGTACTCTTACAATGTAAAATGGGAAGTATAAATGGAAATTGATGAGAAAAGAAAAGAAAGGCATGTTATTGTTTAAATAAGACGTCCCCTTACGTAAAAGTAACAGGTAACTGTCTTTCTGGGACATCTTTCATCTTTTCTTAATCTCTCATTGTCTCTCGACTCGGACATTGGGCCTCCGTTTCAGTCAAAATTTGCTCAACGTGGTTTGTTATTGTTTGCGTTTTAAAATGTTTCTGAAATGAGACAAGACGTTGTCATTCAAAATGGTTTGCTGTAATATAATGCCAGATTTCTTCAACAGAGTTCAAAATTCCTCCTGCGAATTTACCTCATATTGGGATGAAAGCGACGATTCAGCAAACTTCACGACGGAAAGTCGTTATGACCCACCTCTATTGGAAAGGAAAACTTTTCCGACTCCTATCCACTTCCCGCGTCCCCGAATTGTGTGGAAGAACTGTAGCTTCACAAATACTGATGACTACTTTCCCTGCCCCTGCTTGCTCAAAAGTTAAATTCCCGCTTCAAAATTCCTCTAAATTTCTGCCTCCCATCGTCTGCATCCACCTTGATATTTCCTATAAAAACATGTTAAACAACTTTCAGCCACCGCAATGCCGAAACTGATGTTACCATCACGTGATGAAATCAAGCTCCACTTCATGTCTGACGATATGCGTAACAAAGTGATGGACGACTTGAAAATCCAAAGACTCAGCGTGGACACTAATTTACAAACAAACTTGGTGAAAAAGAATTTCCCATTACTAATTTAATCCTCCAAACTGCATCTACACAAATCTGAGCTATTGCCTATATTTTTCGCACAGATTTGGGAAAGCGGATTTTCCACTTGCAATCAATTGCTAGACTAGAGGTCAGTGTTAAAAGGTACCGCAGTAAAAAATCACCTATTAAGTGTTTTCGATGTCAGAGACTCGAACACGACCCCAGAGGAACGCCCGTTCCTTCGCTCCGAAGTTCTTCAATTGCGGTCTCGCTCATAGAGCTTAAGACAGTAGTTACGTCTCGATTCCAGTCGCATTACATCTTAATGACGGTGCCTTACATCAAAAACTTCCTTTTCCTACTCCAGAATTCGATTCAGCTCGCAAAAATTTTCCAATGCAAAAGGATAACTCTGCGCATGCGCCCTGATTCGCTTACACGTCTTTTCCCCGATAATGATGTCCTGCTTCTCGCGACCAAAATTCTAGATAATTAAAAGCTTTAAGATTGCTCCTTTCCCTCTTTAGAATCCATGAGGAAAGCATAGCGTATGGATTAACTGGACTCGTCTATTCTAATCTGAAGCAACTCCTTTGCATTTCCCGAATACTTCTTTTAGCGCAGGCACGAATAAGGTAACCACAGCTAATTAGAGCAGTGACCTGGAGGTCGTGCGTTCCGGCCTCAGTTTTGTAAATTTTTATCTGGACTTTGATGTTTTTTTCTGCTACTTCTTGACTCCTTAGTGTCAGTTAATATTTTTAGAATGCTCCGCTTTGTGAAGTTTTAACTTTTTATATTTTTTTAGCTCAGTTTGATGACAAGCTCCATCAACTGTTTCGTGGTCTCCTTTCTCATAGTACGAACTTGATTTCTGCAGAAATAAAGTGTCTTTCCTTTTTGCTCTTAGAATTCCTTCATAAACTTGCATCACCATACTCACTGTGGAATTACTTCAGCTTACAGAACAGTACCGCTTAAGCAGTAGAAATCCTGTGTGACTTCTTCTGTATCAAGGTATCAAGGAGTTTTGGTAATTTCAGAACATTTGTATAATAAGCAACCAGAAACGAACATTTAGGGCTGTATTTTAGGATCGCAACTTGATAGAATTTGAATGTTCCAAGTTTTCTTAGAAATCCTTTCAAGATTCTGTTAAGAATATATATGTATATATACACTATTTCATAATATTTTCGAAAACGACTAAATTTCTTATTTCAAGAGCAAACCATTATGCTTCTACTCCAGTGCATGACATTAGACAACAGAAATTTCGAATTCAATTCATAATTCGTATTTTGTCACGCATTAATTCTTCTGTCGGATCCAAAGGCATTAAATTTTGACTTTTTACCAAATATAACATTATTTAAATATGATAAAACTTTGATTACTACAGATTTTGCGAACGTTAGGCATATTTTCCTTGTTTTTCTGGTTGACGAAAGCTTTCTTTCTTCCTGATCGCCTTTTGTATCTAATGTGACTTAAATGACTTTTCTAAAAGCTTCAGGATTAACTTTTACTGAAAACTGTTCATTTAAATATACTGAACGTTCTGCTTTACTAAATTTTGGGTCTGGTTTCTTTTTTCGTAGAATAAATCTGCGATTCTTTGATTTATTTTAGAATATGGCCCAGACTGCAGTGCGTTTTCAGCAAGTCTACTCAATTTCTATCATTTCGTTGCATCAAAGACAATTAAATGCTTTATATCAAGGATTTTTTGGATATGTTTAGTATTTTATCGTCTTTAAAGGATGAATTATTAATTTTTTAACAGATTTGGTTTTTAATTTGTAGAGTCTTGCCGTTTACACTTCAGATATGGAGATGTATACTATGTATTTTGTTAAGCATAAATATTTCCAAATGCAGACGATAATTCCTGTGATTTATATTCATTTACAAGAAGAAAAAAAATTAACAAGGAACATTATCTGCCAAACCATTTCAAAAAAATTTCTAGTGTCCGAATTATTATGTGAATTACTTAATTGGAAAAAATTATTTTATTATAAAAAAATTTTGATATGATATTTATTTAACAATAAGCAAGGCTTAAAATACAGAAAACATGATATATTAGGAAAACATTTTAAATCTATGTTTCAGTATTTAGTTCAAGATCTATGTAAATAAATTTCAAATATACAAGTGTCCGAAAACAAAAAACAAATGTGAGCGTCTGTATCTTTGAAGAGTAAAATTTTTATTTTAAGAACTTTTATTAACTAAAATTTAGTAAATCGCGGGAAGAATTATATTTAAGCATGGAATATAGGATGCGAAATGCAGAATAGCAAATGTGCTTATGATTAAGTTCTCCAAGAGTAGACACTACTGGGTTCACTTAGAGTCCGTACATCACCATCAGGGGACCTATTCTCTCTTGAAAAACGTTTTACAACTTAGAAGATTTTTTTTTTTAGCGTAGGTGGAGTATAAAAATGTTCAGAATCAAGGGAAGTACTATACGTATAGTTCTGGCTATTATTTGCATAAAATTTCACTACATATGTTCTGCTTGAAATGATAAGTAACTGTGTAGAGCTATTAGGTTTTAAGGAATGAGAAACGTGAGGAAGCAACTATTCTCTAAACAAAATTCGAACCACGGATCTTTCGATGCTAATGGAACGTGCTACCAGTTATACCACGAATGTAGACACGGATGTGTCCCTATATTTTTCCTCACGTAAAGACGACTGAGAAGAGTGGAAAGAAAATAGGACCACACACAAATCTGTCTTTATGAGGAGAATGTGGTAAAAACAAAGTGAAATTATCGTCTACAATATTTTAGTACTGGGTCTCTATAAAGCTATACTAAGTTCCTTGGCGCAGGAAACACTAAAAATCAGCTATGCATCTGGCAGGATTCGAACTCCGAATCGCATAATTCCTAAGTGCACATCGATATCGCAACCGAAGGAGGAGCTTCTAAAACAGAGCAGTGAGCTTCCAGTAATATTTTTTCTTGTATCACATGACCTTTACTGCGCTTAAAGCCAAATGGCCGATAATCTTTTCCCGCCAAGGTTCCTTCAAAAAATAATTAAGCCATAGTGGATTTCTTGTGAAAACTTCCAATGCAAAATTAGATCAACTATAATTATTTATGAGAATATCACTACCTAGGTGAAAGAATAAAAATTCACGCGAAATAAAATGTAAAAGCTAGCTTTCAAATATTCAGCGCCACAAGAGCGTAATAGTCCATTGGTGCATATTCGAAGCCCTCCTTCGGTTACGACACCAATGTGCACTTAAAACTGATATATCTACAATATAATCAATTCTCAGAAATTTAGCTTTCAGTTTATCTGACTGACTGACGTACGTCAAAACCAGTTCTTTGAGTGAAAGCTGTGAAGGATACAAGTTTAAGCGAGATATTTTGATCTCAACTGTAAAATATCTCGCGTAGCTGCGCCAGACATTGGTTCTGACGAAATATGTTTCATTTAGGAGCCCTCCAATGAGGAAGAGAAGCTCACCAAACGGATTATTACTCTAATTACCGTACCAAAGGACCTGGGTTCGAATCTTGTAGAAGGCTTGGGTATTTATAACTGTACAGTGTCTTTACGGTATGGGGCACTTTAAATATATGGCCAGCCGAAAGCCCTATCGTGTGATTTGGTGGTAGGGAAAGGAGGGTGGAAGACCCTGGACCTATGCCCAGGGGTGCTCTCCTTCAAAATTAGGATGGAACTGTTCAAAATTATATTGTCATCTCTATGGTGCCCACGACTCTTGCCAGCGACAGGCGTAATCGTGTACTCCTTGCCACGATGAATTTCGTGAGTTTGTTCTGATAAGAGGTCAGATGATGATGATGATGTGATTGATATGATAAACCCATTACAATAATTCCTTAAAACTCTACACTCTTAAGAGGAAGTAATATTGCCTCAGCTTATTAATTTAACATACGTAAATTAAGTTCCAGAAGAATTATAATTTCAATTCCAAAAATTTCCATTAACTACTCATCATAAAATGAATAAATAAAACTTTTTACTCTAAATAAAGGAATAAATGTATGTTAAAGCTTAAAATATATAACATAGTAATAATTATCAACAGGAATTCATCGGTTTAGAGGATCCCAAAGAGCGTAGTGACTTCTTTCAAGACTTGTCAGCAATTTTGCTTGAAGAAGATGACGAAAATCATGATCAGTTTTTAAAAGAAAGTTTTGCAGTTAATAAGTAAGTTTTGAAGTACGTGTTTCATATCAAAATACATCATTTAAAGTTCCTTATTATTTCTGCTGAAAAACAATTTTTGAAATTGTCTGTTTTTTTCTTTTTGAAGTACCTAACATTGTAGGATAAATTTATAGATGACCCAGTCTTAAAATACACAGTTTAATAAGTTTATATTGAAGGTGCACAGAAAATTCTAAAATTAATATAAAAGATGATTAAAAGCTTACATTATTAAAATACTTTCATACATAGTATTTTTACAACATTTTAGGCTAATTTCATACAGAATCGAAATTTCAGGAAAGCTATATTCCTACTTTTTTAACTTCATGTATACAAACCTTGTAAACGTCCACGCAAATCAAATAGATAATTGTCATTTTGTCGCAGGATCATATGCAAAGCTCCAAGTTTCATCTCCAGTTACAATTTATTTGAATAAATCTGGATTAATTCCCGCTTTACAGTAAAAATTTACTATCTATGTCAGCAGAAGTTCACAAGATCAAAGCGAATGATAAACTACACAGAAAATTTTGTCCGTAAGCAAAGAAAAGTAAGTGTTTCGCCCGTTACGATAAGAATCAACTCTCAAGGTATTTTCCAAGAAAGACAAATCATAGAATTCCACTCGAGACAATGACCAGAAAATGAGCATTGCGAAAGAATTCGTTTGATGTTGCAGTTTATGTGAAGATATTTTGAACTCCATATCTGCTAATTATGAAGTTTATCATTGATATGAATATCATTTTTTCAAGCTGATTTCCAAGCTGGTACTCAGCAGATGACAATTAGCAATAACTTCAGTAACCCCAAAAATAAATTTAAAATAAATTAGCATTTTCTTTTTCTACTTATACGTATTATATATACGCATACATTTAGTTAGCTGCTCGTATTTAATTCCAAAATATCGTTAATCATTTTGAGGGATACTGCAACAGAAAACTATATGACAAAAATGCTTTCAAATAAGTATTTTTAGCATTCTTAAATTTCCAGAATTAACTTTTAAGATTATAACTACTTTTTCTTTTTTTTCTTTTAATAGGGACCATAAGCACGACGACGTGTTTTTTTACAAAAAAGGATGTCTAGGGTTGGTTGACAAAGTTCGTCCTTTAAGTTCGATGAGAAGTAGGAAAGATTCTTTGTACCCGGGAAAAACAGTACGTATTCCCGTTTCAATATCAACTGATATTCATTTCTATTGTATACAGCGTATTGTTAATGTTATCACATGATGATAAATTATGGAAACATACACAAAGTCATTAAATTTCATTCTCAGGGAATAAAACCTGCCATGCAACTAATAGTACTTCGCAGTATTACCCATGCGGTCGTTGGCAGGTTGTACGGCTTTTGCGAAAGCTATTATACGAAGTAGATTTAATTCAAAAGAACGAAGTAGATTTAATTCAAAATTCGTTAATTAAGAATTAACGAATTTTGAATTAAATCTACCTCGTGGATAGCACATAAAACACAACAGAATAAAGACACTCTTTAAAGTCTACTGTATTTATTTACCATAGCGTCACTTCGATGCTAGGTTCACGTAACAACATTACATCTCATTCATTTCATAACTCAGAGTGCACAAAAATTTTATCATCTGAAGAATTAGCACAAGTTCTATTCAAATACTATAATAAATCTAAAACGATGTATAAAAGAAATTAAACAAATAAAAAAGAAACAGTTTTTGGCAGACGATTCAGGGCCGCTTACCTAATGCGCATGCGCTTCTAATTAATTCAGTTCTCACTTCACGGCAAGGCAAAAATACATAACAATTCAAAATATTTTCATTAAGATTTGAAAGATATAGAAAAACATAAAACACCAAGTACAGTTAAAAGAGTTAAAAAGACAATTTTTACAATTAAATGTACCGTTTCTACGCAAAAACAAGCTAATAACTTAAATGATAATTCCAGAATGAAATTAAGCATAATTTAATTCGCGAATAACAAAAGAAGACGTTATTTTGTTGTAGCGAAGTTTAGTTTCTTTAATTTGGCAACAAATCCACTATTCTGCTAAGCTTCAAATGTAAACAAACATGGCTGCCATGGCAATCAAAAATTAGGCTTAGCCACACTTAAAAAACTTTTAAATTGTTGATAATCCACAATTATTGCATGCAGGTTAACTAAAGGCATAAAAATCTTTACCAGAAAAACATAATTCAATCATTTTTAAAGTAAAAAATGCTCAATTTACAAACGTATAAGAATAAAGAAACTAAGCTCACTGAGCCGAGTAACAGATAGGATATATATTTAAACAAATTAAATTTAAATTTTAACAAGCACGTATAAAAGTAAAAAAGCAAATTTAAAGCCAAAATTAAAAAAGCAAATTGAAAGAAAAAAAAAATGTGTAACATTACATACTTTTGGTGATTTAAAAGATTTAATTCTCGAACTAATCTACAATATCATTTAAATTCAGAACCATAAGCAAATCAAGTGCAAAACCAATCCATGAAAATAAATTCACTAATTTAGCAAATTAAAATTAATCCAAACAATTTTTATAAAAATGCATAAGTGAATGACTGTTGAGCAGGCAGGAGACAGACTTATCAAGGGGAAGTTGCCTCCAAACCTTACTCTCCAATCATTCAATTCGTGTTTCGTCATTCATGCAGGCAAGGGTGGTAAAAATCAAAACCAAAAGTAAAAAGTGAAGAATGTCCAAAAAGAAATACCAATAAAGTGGTACCCTTAGAAATTAGCATTTAAGAATTAAATATTAATAAAATTAATTTAATAAAATAATTAAATATTAATAAAAAAATTTTTAGGATATATATATATATATATATATTTATTTACATACTTTTGGTGCGGCCGATTGCAACCAAAATGGTAGGTGCACATCTACATATTATAGCAGTGCAGTCCTATATACTTAATTTCAACGTTTTTGAGGCTACTCGTTTTTGAGTTATGCGAGATACATAACGAAAAAATCTCTTCAAAATTCATTTTAAACCAGTTTTATAATTTTTTTGTGGGGAAAAGAGTCCTTTATTTTGTCTTTATGTACAGATGTCACGCAAAAACAAAACATCGTTAAATTGCATTCGATAGCGGCCAAAATGGATATTTTCGTTGAAATATGATACCCGAAATGTTTCGGGATAATAATACTTCCTTTTTACAAGGAAGTAAAAATCTGATGTGGACATTAGATGACTTTCTTATATGGTCTATTAAATTACACACATTTTTTGCTACATTTCGTTTAAAGTTATTTCTTCGAATTTCATTAGAGATATATTTCTCATTCAATTAAATTTAGTTCTCACTTCGCGGCAAAGCAAAATACATAAAAACTCAAAACATCTTTATTAAAAATTGCAAAATACAGAAATATATATATATAAATATTTTTAAAAATGCAGTTAAAAACAGTTTAAAAAATTACAATTAAAATTGGAGTTTCTACGGGAAAACAAGCAATTCGGAAAGCGGGCAGAAAATCAAATTTTTCCGTGCATAAAATTGAATGTTTACTTTTGGTTCCACTCGGCAAAAAGACACTGAAGTTGGTACACAAATTGACTTAATTCTAGTTTTAAATGTAAACAAATGGCAGTCTCGTTAAGATTAGTAAGGCTTAAACAACTTTCAAATTGCTAAGAATTCTACAACTATTGCATCCAGATTAACTAAAGGCATAAAAATCTTAACTGAAACATAAGAACAACATAATTCAATCACTTTTAAAGCAAAAGATGCAGAATTTACCAACATATAAGAATAATAATAATGTAAAAAAAACTGAGATCACCAAGCCGGTTATCAGAGTGTGTATATAATATACGTTTTGTGCGGCCTATTGCAACTAGAAAGGGAGGTGCATAACTACATGTTATATAAGTCCCACATGCAAATTTTCAACGTTTTGAGGCTACTCTTTTTTGAGTTATGCAAAATACGTATAGACGTCACGAAAATATCTTTTCTGAATTCGTTTTACAATCCGTTCTAGAAAAAGTGTCTTTATTCTGTCCGTATGTACAGATGTCAAACAAAAACATTGTTCAAATGGATTGGAGAGCAGTGAAATTGGATATTTTGATTGAAATATGATACACGAAATTTTTTTCGATTACAATACTTTCTCTACTTCGTACAAGGAAGTAGAAAGGTAGTAAAATATTTTCGGCTGGATAGACATCTATTAAAAAATAAATAAGTAACAAAAATGAAATTTATCTGGTAGTCTTCCTCGTTACACCTTTCCTTAAAAAATTTAAGTTGTATTTTACTTTAGGTAATCAAGAGAAAAAATAGTGATAAATTAATAAAACAAGAGATGAAATGTGAAAATTGAGAAATTCCTTGGAAGTAGACAATTTATTTTTAAATATGCTCAGCTAAATGGCTTACAAAATGGAAGGGCTTAGATTTACAATCTTCCACAACGATTTGTTAAGGTTTTTTTACGTTCTTGCCGAGCTCGCAGTCTACTAGTCTGCTGCTGCACTCACTTCTGTTTAACGCATTTCTTTCTCTTTTTATCTTTATTATTAAGCATTCAACAGCAAAGTTTAAAAGTCGTGAGTCATACATTCTAGCACATGGTCAGCAGTTCGAGCACCTCTTATAAGTCTGTAAAACCGATACAAAGAAATGTTACATGTAAAATAATAAATGTTTTTTTCCTTACTACTTCCTTCTTATGTGTTCTTTCCATCATTGAACTGGGGTCATTTTGTCCTACTACGTAGCATATGCGCCCATGCATTCCTATGTGAAATCTCCTTCTTTTTCTATTCCCTACCTCCCCACCAAATATTGATAATGAATTCTGATTCACCCTGTATTTATTCGTATATATGATGCTTAAATTGAGGGGGTAGATAAAATGAGTACAAAGTTCGCTTGGGGACTAAAAACCGAGGGTCCTGCGAGAAGCTGACCTCTTGCCCAATGTTGATGCACCCCGTGCTCAAGGTCAGATTTCGGGGCACTGCAGAACGTGGCCTTCTAGGACTATTGCGCCACTGAGTTTAGTTTTATATGATGCTCGAAAAAGGAACAGTGTTAGGTTTATTCTTTAAACATTGATTCTAGACATGTACTATCTAAGGATTATGTTAATTTATTAACAGTTAAATTTTAAGTTAAAGTTCCTTTCCTGTCAAATTCTTAACTTCAACTTACTACTTCCGGCCAGAATGTAGTTTTGGAATCTTGCGGAATATTTAATGAGGAGGGGCGGTATTTAAACCACGAAGTTACTTACTGAGTCAGAGAGAATCAGAGTTTCTGATTTACGCCCGTTTCTGCCTTTTTAGCTACTCTTTCTCTCAAAGCTGTTAATTACGCTCGGCCGTAGTCAGGCCCTTGCTAAGCTTTGTAGTCAAATAAGTTAAGGTGGCAACTCGATTTGAACCTTGATAGTTTCGGCTATACTTCTTTAGTTAATCTTATAGTTTTAGTTTAATTCTTAGTCTTTTAAGTTCAAGCGCAAGTGCGGGCTTTGCTTGTACACTCCCAGGCGGAGTTTTGTTAAATCTTATTGGAATAATAAAGGGTTAGTTACCCTTCTATCTTGTTGTTTCTTGTCACAGAACTCAAGCGATTATTCGCTTATCTTAGATTCTTCACTTCCAAAATTAACTTAGAATTCCAAAGTGAGGAACTCTACAACTTTTACTTACAATATATTTCAAGATAAGACAGAGAATTTTATTTATAGTGTTAATATAAAAGGTGGGATCTATAACATTAAATTGTGATTTGCATACGTCTTCAATGGAATAAAAATTTTAAAAGGTCAAATATTTTTTCAGGGGGATTTAGTAAGCTTAAGCAAAAATTCACTATCTTTTCGCAAAAAAATCAGAGAAATATATTTAATACATACTTTAAAAAGCCAACTGCAGATGTCATAATGTGAAGGCTGTTTTACTCAAAATCGAATCATTAATCAATAAAACAAGTACTTTTTTTAGTTGCTTCTTAAACTGGTAGTTTTACAGTCTTGGATTCCTTCAGCAAAAGAGGTGGTGTTGTAACGACGATTTTTAATTTCTTGAAGAACGAAAGTTCTTGTAATTCATTTAATCCAGAGGCAAGTGATATTTACAAAAGCATACTTAAATTTAATTTATATAATTATTACCGTACTTAACAATAAGAAT